ATGTGGGTTACATTCCTTTTGATAATCTGATTTTGTGATGCACTCGTATTCTGACAGGATGTCGTTGAAAACGTTGTTCACAGGCTTCATTATTCGTACACCATGGATTTCACAGTCGTTGGAAGGTGTACCATCTACCTGTAAACGTGTATTTGCATCGATCAATCTCTTAGTCATATCTACTAACAAGTTGTACGCACTAAGGAAATCGGCTCCGAGGATGGGTCGTTTGACTTGAGCAAATATGAAAACCCATGTAAATCTTCTACGGAGTCCGAGATCTAATATAAGTGATTGCTCACCGTACGTTTTGATAGTTGATTCATTAGCCGCTACTAAGGACAATTTAGTGCTTGTCGTATGTTGTCTGTGTGAGAGATAGAGTGGGATGATGCTGATTTCTGTTCCAGTATCGACTAAGAAGTCTGAGCCAGAAATGCGATCCCTGATGTGGAAGAGGCGGCTGACATGTTGGCCAGTAACAGCTGCCGCTATTACTATCTGGCCACTTCGTTTCCCTGATGGTCTGGCTTGCTTGTCGTGAAGTTGCACGGTTTTGTACAACGACGTGCTTTCTCACCATAATTCAAATGATACCAACAAATTCCGGCTTCCCGCTTAGGTGACCTAAGACGATGTCTGGATACTGATCTCCTTCTGGACGTAGATCTGGGGCGTCGAGAATGGATGGTGGAAATAGTCGCCTGCAGTGATGCTAGCTGCTGTGTTAAGTGTGCCATTTGTTGCTGAATGTCAAGAGCAGGGTTCATAGCGTCTCTACTAGAGGGTTGTACCGCGTTAATTCCCCGACTATCGGGATATATTTCCATAATCTTATCAGCCATATCAGCTAAATCGTCAAGAGTGACAGAAGTTCCTGAAATACTGAGAATTTGTCTGACATTATGTGGTAACCTTTGTAACCACATTTGCTTAAGCAGCGTCTCGTCTAATTTGTAGGGGCCGGCGAGCTGTCGCATGTGTCGGAGTAACTGTGAAGGTCTCTTATCCCTTAGCTCACACGAGGTAAGCAGTTGTAAACGTTTTTCGTCTGACAGTGATGTGCGTTGGATTACTGCAGCTTTTATTTTGTCATAAGGGTCAGTTTCTGGTACGTTGTCAATAAGGTCACCAACTTCCGTTGCTATTTCTACAGGTAGTGCACCGACGACGTGGGCATATTTAGTCGCTTGCGAACGTATACCTCTCGCCTAAAATAGTGCCTCTACTTGAGCAAACCAAATTCTAGGGTTGTTGACACCAAATGTTGGTAATCTTAGTTCAGAAATAGCGTTGATTGAGTTTAAAACATTATCTTCTGACTGTGATGAATGAAAGGGGTTGTTTGATGAGCTATCTATATCAATAAGTTTATTAGGAGAGTTCATAATGCCAAAAATAAAAATGATGTGTCGTGCCAATTAATAATAATAAATAAAAAAATATGTAGATATATATAATAGATGTCCATGAAAAATCGAGGCTCACCAAATAATTGTCGTGGACCAAACAGATATGAACGCGAAATGTATAAACAAAGTTATTAAAAATCAATAGTATTATTAATATATACAATTAATTGTTACAAATACAATAAAAATTAAGGACGTTACTCAAATTGACCAAACGTTGAGTGTTCTGATTAGGTCCGGTAATGTAAATCCACAATTATAAATGCTTGATGACTCTGAGCAGGTTGGCGAACTCTCTAGCGATATAGTCCAACGTAGGATGTGATATATTCCAATTACAGTCTTTAAATAATGATAATATTTGATTTAGACTTCAGCTAACTCAATCACAAACGAGAATAGAACGAGGGATGTGTGAGTAGTAATGTATTTGATAACCAGCAAGAATATGTCACGCTATGTAGTAGCTCAACGGGAAGTGTGTTCAAGGTCATTGACTAAAACAACACGTACAGTCATTTAATGATGAATGTACATACAGTGAAAAATTGACAAACAAATACAAATAATATTAAAAACTATTTACAAAATAAGCCTGTCAGTCATATCTCCACAATAATTTGTGTTCGTAAGGAATTTTTCTGATGTCTCTATCCAACTTTCACATAGTATAATATTAGTGGTGAAATTTAGGGAAATGGTAATTCGGCAGGGAAAACCTGTTCACATCACTCACCCTAGTAGAAGGTTCTTCGTTTGTTTGTGACTCACCCCTTTTGATATGTTTTTTTACTCATATTTCTCGGCTGATTGTTTCGGAATAAACAGCTTGTGCATGTATCCTGGAATTTTGCCGTCAGTATTGTCGGAGTTTATATCAAATTTAGAGATCTGAAGTGATTTTCTTTACCCCTTGTGAAATTCAAAGTTTCTTGCAGTGCCAAACGTCGTTTCTTGGTGTCGACTAGAATTTCACATCTATTTAAGAAGTAAACAAATAATATAATAAGAACTGGGCAAAATAATGACTACAACATGAATAACTTGCGATAAAAACTACGTGTAAACATATGTGCGGGATTTTAGTTATGGATAATCCGAAGGTCTACTTTCATGACTAAGTAAAAAAATAATATTCAAATTTAGATGAAATTAAATTTGTGTTGAACAAATAGCTCACCATTTTCGTGACTGTAGGGAACCCTCGTTCTGTTTTGTAGAAGCCAGACTAGTAGTGAACAAGTTTTTATTTTAGCTCGTGGTTGGCACACAGTGGATTGCGAGGTTATCTGTCGAAACACACATTGCTTTTCAACACAAAATGTAAGATAATAGAAAGTGTAGTTCCTATACAAAATAAGGACGTGAATGAGTACCTCAGCTCTACTGTTGCGACATATATTTAGATGTTTGAGATCAACTCTTAACTAATCATCCTGTTTGTTCCAAACTTTCAAAGCAGCTGTAAGATTGTGGGTGTGCGGTAAAGAGTAACAATCAGGGGTGATCTTCATATTAAGTTGCCGATAACTGCCGGTTAGACGCTAATCATTGAAGTCCTCTTTAGGGACTATGTGCACAGAAGATGCTCATAGGCTGTTCGATGACTGAATAATTTCCGAGTCTATCATGTGCTCGAATTCAGCTTGAGCCAGTCAAAGTTTCTCGGTTGTCAGTTGACGTTTTGCTACTATAATTAGGATGTGGTGTGTGTGATTTCTGTCTACGCACAATAGTTTTTGTCGAGTTTTGTAAAGTTCGTGGCCTTTGTTGAGCGTCCGTTGAAAGTGTGTATTATACGTCTAACCGCAATCGGGTATAACCTACAACTACGAAATTCAGTTCCACAAACATACACTAGCGTACATTTATTTGGGTCCATGCGTAGATTATAGAGTTGTGGCAGGTGTATACAAATGATTGGCATAGAAATGTCTGTCACAACAAAACTTCAATGAATAGGTTCTCATAAACCAACTTTACGATAAACATATCCTTTACCACATGAAGCAATCGGTTTTCCGGATGCCATTTGCAAGTTGAAGACCGGATCTTGTAGTCGGTCATTGGTATTCATGAGAAGAACGCTTATTTCTGCGTCAGTGTTGGTGAAACAATGAACTTCTATCACCACATTAGTGATGAATAACAGATGGCTGTTTTCACTGGCCAGTACTGCCATTAATACGTACCTACAGGGAAGTTTCATGAAAGGTTTGTCGTGATGAAAGGTTTTGAGTTGGACAAACCGCAGTGGTTCTTTCAACTTCTATAAAAATTAATCATTCCTGTCATGGTTCCATAACCAATCAGTATTATTTGTTTCTCATGGTCTAGAACACATCTTTTCCGTGTCAAGTCCCTTTGGGGAGTTTCGGAGAGTCTTCAGTTAGGATGAATATGAAGATAACGAGTAAGACTATTACAGTGATTCATAACGAATTCTCGTGCTATTCGAGGTCTTTCTTAACAGTGAAAACATCGGTGTTAGAAGTTACGGTGAACCCCAGAATCCGATTGGCAGATGCCTCAATTTGTCTACGGCATTATTTTGAAGAGAGATGAGAACCGCCTACATCCGTTGTGGAAACCTAGATAGGAAGACTAGTCTAAAGAAACCCTCTTTGAAGATTCACTGACCAATAACCTTGCGCACACACAGCAATATTTCTGTTTCTGAACTGTGTTTCAATTCTATGTTGTGGAAGAGTTTATCTGAACTTTAACAGTCGGTTAGGTCTGCCTGTTTATAGATGGAGCTTTTTAAGGTGCCATAAGGTTCGGGTATAACATAGTGGTTAAACTTGAGCGGAAATGCCTTCACTGCAGCGGGGGATCGCGCACGCGCATCTACCACGGCGTGCTCGTGGACTACCTGCGAAGGAGAATCAGGGTTCGATATTATCAGACCAGAGTGATATAAATTGAAAGGTGGGAGAGGGAGCATAAGACTCAAACGTCAATAGTTTTGGTGTCTTTCTCAGCACTGTGAATATATGCAGGTAGTCGAGAAAACAAGAGTACGAGAATACGAAAGTAATATCACAATATGTAAAACTTTAAAAAGGACATAATGTCACGACAAGGAATAAAATCACAATTAATCGTTTTGTGTACCAAGTCACACCAGGCTCACCATTAAAAATGCCACAGGTATCCGCAGTTCGATAACGCCTTTAAACGTAAGGCCGTTTTAATTGAGGTTTGACAATGCAGTCAAATAAGAAGTCAGATGTGAAGGAGTTCGAAAATGGATTTAGCTGGTTATAGATATGTCGAGAATCGTTTGGTCTAAGCTGGCTAGTAGTTGCAATGGATGTGTAGAGCAATGTATCCATTCATAGTCTGGTGCGGATGGGTGATCACGCGCCTTCATTTGTTGTGTGTCCAGTAAAACAGATAGGATCAGCGTCACTGTTGGAGAATTACAAAACTTTTAGTTTTGGAGATCTATTAACCAATACATGTCGCAAACTTTGTAAGTACGCTCCTGAACATGTCATAGAATTAAAAACATAATTAATGAGGTGAAATAGGCAAAAATCAGAACTTGGGCAGGTATCCAGGTCGTAGCTATGACACCTCGCGGCAGGTTTTTAAAATTGACTCATTCTAGCGGGTCAAATAACCTACTCACAGTTTTGATTTCAAAATTGTCTTAACTTGTAGCCTATATCGTCGCTGATTGTTTCCTGTTGCTTTTCTTATTAAACGTGAATGCATTTTGTATTCTTTCTGGATCGTCGACCCACCTTATCTTTTGTTCTTTTCTCCATCTTTCTTTACTGTATTCACCATGCTCCCCCTAGTACACAAAGTAGATCCTGGCTAAAAACAATCCACTACATGCGTTACGTCGTAGAGCATCCAAAGCCTTACACTTTCAACCCCTTGATTCTAGTAGCGACTTGTATTAATCTTGCGTTTATAGTCGCCTCAGAAGTAACAGTACTTAAGTACTTGCTCACGCCTGTTACTCCCAATAGAGCATAGGCCACCCAGAAGTAATATATGTTACTTGACTGATTGAGACTAGTCATAAGGTTGACATTGAGTCAACATTTGTAATGTTATACAAAAACCTTCAAGGACGTATACTAAGGTTTATTGAAGCCTTGGCTATAAGGAAATTGAAACCCTCTATGCGTTTAAAAACAATTTTCCTTATACTTAACCTACCCTGGTAATACTGATTTATTATCCAGAGTGGTAATCACATTTTTTGTGTAGTTTAATACTTCTTCTCTTCATTACGGCTTACCTTTAACCCATCTAGTTGACATTTTAATTTTCATATAAAAATGTCTTAACAAGCATACAAGTGATCAGATTGTTCGAAATGTATTGCGCTTACTTATTTATTAGCTCACTTGTTCTTTTGTTCGTTTCTCTTTCAAATTCTCTTACATACTGTTCCCCCCACTTCTCCAGCCTACAAGATACCTTTAGGCTAGACGCAGACCTATCAAAGGCTGAACGTTACATGCAATTATGAAAAATCCCCCAGTAGCTCTTTCACTTTATCCTCTTGCGAACCCAAAAGGCGAAGAGCATGGCTGTGAAGTATGCTCTAAACCAGCATGCTTACAATGTGGGGTATGCCGGATCACGTATTATTGGTTTGACCATTAACATATGAATGCATTATATTTCTAGTGGAATAGAGCATCAAAAAATTGATTGGGTAGGAATTCATAAAAAGATATGTCTGGATTTAATAACGTTTCGAGAATCTAAGGGATTTGTATCAAAGGACAAGCGTGAGAAGAAAAGCGAAGAACTTCAAAACAAAAATGTAAGTGCATCTACATTGCACATGTACAATTATTTTTGGTGAGAAGCCTCTATCATACTTGTGGTACATGAGGATAAGCGATATGGGTACCAATGTAAAACATTTTGGTAGTGGATTCGAGTACAAAATGTACTTTGTTTTTTTAATAGTTAGTATTATATTTCAATATACTGAGATAGTGCGCAGTTGGTCGCTTGCCTATTGAGACAATGTTGTCATGATATTTGAACCTAGAATCATTTTTTATGATGGTGACTCTAAATAGACAATTATTATGAGGTACATATTCCATAGCAGTTGTCTATCCAGAACTCACTGGGTGCATAGTGAGTTCATTAGCTTTGTTGCACATTTAGCCTGCAATAATAAAGATAGTAGGTCGGTTAACCTGTGTTAATCCTCGTGTTATGTTTTCCATGGAAAATCCAATTTCCTCTTACAAGTGTTCACTAATTGGGCTTAAGTCACATGTTTTGGTGGGACGTTACAGTCATTGAGTCCAACACAAATTACTAAACATATATTGTAAGTGGCTAGTCTATAACTTGTGAAGTTCAACCAATACCTAGCTGAGTTCTCAAAAGAGAACCTTGTTTCCGCTTTACTTCCGCAATCATCTTTCGATTGGCTCGTTGAAATTTTACTTTGAATGACACTTCTTCATAGTTGTAAGCTATTGAAAGTTTTTTTCAAGTGGTTTACTTCAAAAATCGTTTGAAGCGTTTGTTTAAGTAGTCGAGATTAGGAGTTTCCTTAAGTCATACATTGGTGAATCGTGTGAGTAGTTATTTAACTGTACTATTGTATCTCAAATATATTGAATTATGTAGTCTTAAATTTGGAATGAGATTCAAAACATAGTTTATTGGTTCAAGGTTTTTGTGTTATTTAATTTATTCAGCTTGATCTGGTCCGGCTCACTCAGCTGGAGAGTCAAAAACTTTTGTTTAAAGGAAAATCAGAGAAAGCCCTACCTGCTGCTTTACAGTGTTTGAGGTTTGCAGTGCGTGCATATGGAATAGCTTGTGTTGAATTAGTATCACCCTATCTAGTTCTTGCAGAATCATGTATTGGTAAGTAGTTAAGCCATTGGTAAAATACTTCTCAAAAAGATATGAAAGATTATTATGCTCTAAATTCTTGAATGTGTTTTCAGTGTACACTTTTTTATTAAATCTCTAGCATTTCGGTGTTTGCCTATAAACACAGTCAGATGGTTACACATCTGGATCTTCTTTAAAATTCGTCCTATATTTTCATGAAAGGGTCAAGAAATTGCTGGCAGCCTTAGATGCTACCTTGTACTACTACTTAGCATTGTGTTTGCTCTTTGACGAGCTTTCAGGAATCAAAGTGAGGCTACAGGTGATGAGATTTGGTTACTGCTAGAAAAGACTTATCACTGCCAGAATTTTGTTGCTAATCAGGATTGATTGTTCTCCGCACACAGGTAGGATGACAACCTTACTCAACCATCCCACTTTCTATAATCAAACAGTTTTGGTGACTGGTTCTGAAGCAGCAACCTACATTTGGTAAGTTAAGAATCACTAATACAGATCTTTATATCAGATCTTTAGATCTGATAAAGATTTTCATATCCATAGAGCCTCTGACCTTTCATCTGTACTTCAAATGTTTTGAAGGCTTTTAAGTAGAAGGTCATTTTCTAAGAATACGATTACATATAATTTCTATATAAATATCTTACAGAACTGGTAAATGCAACCAATATCTGTAGAAACCTTTAGTTTCACTTCTAAGGGAAATGTTTCCCCTAAACACAGCCACATGAGTCATTACAAAATTTCCCTTCGTCACTTCAACATAAATAGTATAGGTGTTTTTGTTCCTAGTTTTCTGTTTTAATTGTTTATCAACTGTCTATTTCTAATGGCTATACACGTTCTAGTACTTGTTGTGTTTTAGATCAGTCTTTTGAGTAAGTTCAAAGAAATAATGACTGCAAAACGTGATGATCGAGAGATCTTGAGAACTAATAAATAATATGCGTATTAGCTTGATTACTATTTTTACCATCTAGGTCTTGGGAAACTGAATCAAGCTGAGACTTACCTTGCACAAGCTCAGTGGATAGTACTTAAAGCACAACATGGATGCACAGATAGTATACAATCACAGTTACATCGTAAACTTGGTTTGTTATATGCTGCTAAAGGTAATTATGAACTAGCATTGGCGAGTTTGGCGAAAGATGTGAGTCTACTAAGCTCTTTATTCTTTCTTAAAATTAATGAATATTTCAGTACTGTCGAATATATGTGTAGGTATGCCTCTAAATACATTTTAAACTAAAGCAACAAGTTATGGGAAGTCAAAGTTAAAAGAATGAGATGAGTTGATAATCTAGTTGATTATCAATTCTGGACCCAGGTAGAAGAAAACTTATGGTACAATGAACGCTAGTCATTGACTCCGCCAAAATTTGCGAACTACAAACAGTAACAAATTGTTTTCGTCTCATGATAACCACTATCTAGAATCATACTTTACTGATTTACTCGGTATGTTCCTCGTATTTTATGTCCTATAACTTTATTTGGTATCTAATCATTCTTCAATATTACGTTTAACATTGTTATATCTTATTTGTAGATATTTTATGCATCCCTCGAATATGGCACCGATCATATTTGCACAGCTGGTGGTTATTTTCATATGGCTGAAGTTTTTTATGCGATGTATAAAGCCAATGGCAACATAAGTTCCCTTGATCAAAACTTTCCAGAAAAGTCAACTGAATTTGTATATCCTTCGGTTACGCCGGAGATTTCAAAAATAAATAAACAAAATAAGTCTCACGGTTCATTGATTTATGAAAGGAAAACAAAACCAAACAACAGTCTTTCAACAAACTCAGAGTTTTGCATTCAACCGCCTTCATCAAAAGCTCAAGTAGTTGAAAATTTGTATACACGTGTAGTTAATATCTGGGCCAGATACTTAAGGGAATTAGTAGAAAGCTTGTTATTCAAACCTGTGTTCTCTGAAGACGTTGGTGCTATTATGGTGGAGACTAATCAAAAAGCTAAACAAACCCTAGGTAATGACATGTTAAACAATACCTTACTATGATCATTAGAAGTATTCAGGTTGATTTGCTAACTACTTACTTACTCCTGTTACTCTTCATGGAGAATCATAGGCCACCCACCAGCATTCTCCATCGACCTCTGTCTTAGATAAACCATTATGGTTGTTTTTAATTGCTATTCATCCTTTTGATGTCTGCTTCCAGTTCCCGATCCAATGTGTTATTTGATCTTCCTCTCTTCCGTTTTCCTTCAGGATTCCAAGTTGATTTGCCAAATAAAAATTCCCGAAATAGTGCAATTTAAGGCAGGTAGAACTAGATGAGCACAACTGGTCGTATTTAGAATTCGTAAGAAGCACACAATCTAGTACAGAGGAATAATTAGTTAGTACCAATATCACACGTACTTAGTTCTAATATCAAAACTAACTTTTGTTCAGTGTTTCAGATTGTAAGGCCTACTGTGCAGAAAGTTTCTACAAAATTCGAGGACTTGCTATTTTCTACATCTGGAATATTTTATATGTAGGTTTTGAGTTTTAAATGAACTTCATTGTAGTGAACCTAAGAAATTACTCGAAAATGACTTAAAAGTGTATTATTATGGTTAAGCTGATGTCATAAAGCATCAAGAGCGCAAACTGTTGCTGTTGTTGCCATTTCGAACTGATGATCTGTCCACAATTAATCTGGAAGTTTATTACCTTGCACTGGCAACAGGTTTCTGCATTTTTCCCTATTATTTCCATCAAATCACACTCCTCTGGAGATGTGTACAATTTTTGTAAGTATGTTATTGTCTTACTGTTCTCTATGTATTTTTCCTAAACCCTTTGGTCTGTATTGGGCTTTGAGAACCTGTTAATCATAATTGGCTGTCTTAGTAGTCAAATCCACTTTGTTACGATTAAATAAGCAAATTTAGTCATATTATGGATTCTGTCACATAGAATAAATTAGTAAAGTCAAGAATATAATGGACTTTTTATCGGGACAAACTTACTATCGTACAAAAATTTAAGGGGTGAAATAACAATATTATGTAGTCTACATGTTCTAGAGACTCATTCACACGAATTAACAGTGTATGTTTTCACAACCTATAACCAATAGTGCTTCGCAGTTTTTTTGCCTAAAAATGAGTTGACATTCCCACGAGTTACTTCGAATTTACTAATCATGGTTGATGTCTTGTCTTATATTCTACGTTTGTTTGATAGCTTGTATTATATCACCTTAATGACTGTCAACTCGATAAAAGGTTTTAAATAAAACAGTAGACATTAATACAAATACCTATTTATAAAAAAATCCTTCACGTCGATTGGATGACTTATTCAGTGTACAGTAAACTGAAGAACCATGTACCTATTTATATTCGATAATTTTATTGTTTGATTATATTCTCCTTGAAAAAAGCTTGGACCAGATTGCCAGGCGAAACGTTAGATTTACTTAAAATTCATTCGCTGAGATTTTACAAATATATTCTTCTTTTTAATATCTCAAATTAACTCGGCGCCCAAATATTGTGAAACTATTCGTTCAAATTTAGACGAAAGTTCTTATTTATAATGTTAATTAGTTTTTTTTAAAAACTACCATTCAATGTTTAGTCTATTATTATTTTTTCCCTGTGTACTTAGCAGTAGAGTACAGAACATCTAATAGTGGTTACTCCTCTGTCTTTCCCCCTTTTCTTTTGAAACTCCATAAATTATCCGTTTTACTTATTGATAGAATGAAGGAATGTCATTGTCGAACTTGTCTTGTAATATTGTAGCATCCATTTTTCTCGCCTCATTTATTGGATAACTAATAAAAAGAATTATTGTTAACATGATATCTTTGCGACTGTTTTCACAACAAAATTAATTACAACGTTAACTACTAAATATGATGTTATTTACTACTCACTGTATTATTAATTTACCTATTTCAGTCCTATAATGTAGTTAGCCGTGATCTATTTAGTCCCGTAATGTTGTTTTCAACTACTTGGTCATATGTAACTAGAATATCTTAGAAAACATCAGATTCTTCAAGGTTCTCAATATTCTTCACTAATAAGTACAATATAGCAAATATTTTTTCGTACAACTTTGTTATAAATTACCTTTAAACATGAAATGATAGATATAATGTACTGCGAAAAAATCATTCACTGAAACGGTATAATTGTATTTATAGTTTCATATCATAAATAAGTTTAATAAAGTAGAACGATATTGGATTAGTAAAAAGGTAACTGAAAATGTTTTACATTGATTAGATAAGTTGCTTGATAGTTTAAATGATAATCCAAAACAGTAAATTATAAACAGATCATTCATGAATGATAAATGTCTACTTCATAAATATCAGACAAAAGTGAATAAGGAAAAAGTGAAGTAATAACTTATGAAATTAGAAAGTTGTTTTGATTGTATGCCATTTTCTAAGATCAAGGTAAAATAAGGGACTGCAAGCATCAAACTTAAGATGGTGATTTTAGTACTCGTATTCATTTGTAGTTGAACTGTCATACCTTTTAAATAGTTCTGAAAGCTACTTCTAGAAGAGCTATGTGATTTGAGTCGAGTAAGTATTTAAGATTAGAATTGATTTTTTTGTATGTACCCAACTAATAAGACATCTTATTATTGTATCTTTGAATAAACAAAATATACTGATTATAATTAACAGATGATGCACAAAAAGCTGAAGCTGAAAAAATGCTGTATGCAATCGAGAAATATCATAATCAGCGTGTCAGTGAAAATGAGCTTAATGCAAGTACTTGTAATCCAGCCAAGCCAGATCCAAAAGTTCAATTGTATTTGACTTTGTCAATGCTAAACTATATTTTAGAAAGAAAGCAAGAAGTAAGCATTTATCAGTTTCGAAAAAAGAATCCAATTTTAACGTATTCTATAAAGGTTCTTATTAACGTACTTCTCCACCAGTTAGTGTAGCCTATTCATATCTGACGTATGCAGAAATAATGTTACTGGAACCCTTTATTTCTTTTGAATGAAGATATGTTGAAACACGTTAATTAAATTTTAGAAGTGATGTATGTAAGTTAGCTTGTCTACACATTAACAACAAAGTAGAACAATGTCAAAATTTCAGCATAGAGTTATGGAAAATTTCGATTTTATTGAAATCATGAACCAATCAATTTTAGACCGTTCAAGACCTAAAAGCACTAGACGATCGTTTGGTTCTAGTATGGGACTCCTCAGTAGTGCGCACTCACGATCCCACAACCACCTTCCATTGTTTTCAGTGAGTGGCTGTCTCATACCCGATACGGTTAAAGTTCACTGATCACAGCTTCTCACTAGAACTCCGAGAATTATCTCTCAAAGCTAGTCACCAGTGAGCACATAGTAATTTTCAGTATGGGGTGCGGAGGTTGTTGAATTTCACTGTCGCGCGAGACCGAAGTTTCCGTGTTCAAATCTAGCTTGCGTGATCGTGAATGCACACTGCTAAGGAATCCCAAACGGCCGTATAGTGCTTCCAGGTCTTCAATGGTGGTCTAACATTGATCGGTTCATGATTTCTATACATTGCCAAACTACTTATAAAGTATCCAAACTTGGGATGTTCAATGGATATCTTCAAAATCCTACTAAATATGCATTTGAATTTTTGACGAAACAAAGCTATATAAGTGAAATTACGAAAAAAGTATTGTCACATAATTTCTCGCACTACTATTGTATTTATTATTGGTCTTGCGTATTTTATTTCTTTACTTACAAGTCTATACAATATTTAATCAAAGCCAAAGTTTCAGCTGAATTTATGGTACAACATCCAAAAATCACTGTGAATATCAAATTGATGGAACGTGCCTTCAGTGATAAAATAATTCAACAAGTTGCATAAAAATTATTTCAGACATAATTGCTGTTCCTTCTTCTTTTCATGCTTAATTTTATGGAAAGAAATAAAAGGGTATTTTTCTCTTCCTATTTTCTCTACACTGCTTAAAATCAATAAATAATGTAATTTAAACGTCAGCAAAATTCACGAAACAAAATGATACTTTGAGATTATGGATATTTGTAACTCAGGTGAATAATTTAGGTGAAGTTTTGTTCTCTGAGCTAGATGGTTTGGTCGTACGGCTTTCATTGTTCTTCTGAAGAACATTAACATAAACTTCAGGGACAAGTGAAGTATTTGAATTTCTCCACATATGACTCACAGCTTGTTCTGTCATTTCTACTTGAAGTTTGTACTGATTATGTTGTTGATAGGTTGCGGCAAAAGATTATGGCATCACTTCCAGAATGGGAGCAAAAATTGATAACCAGATCAGGTTTTTCTCGCAGGATACTACTTGATAAGTCTTCAAATGTAGCTCTGGATTCAGTTCCTTAGCACTTCTGTTAACCCCCAGGCTAAATCTTCACAGTGACTTGAACACGAGAGAAAAGGCGCGAAATACGGAAGAAGCGCTTTATTCCAAAGGTTCTGTTTATGTACAGAAAATCTAAGGTATTTATAGTATTTTAGATGACCTAGAGCTCCCGGAAATCTCTGGAACGTTCCTAAACATAGTAGCAATATGGGTAATCATTCAATCGGAAACACGACATGTGACTTTTCACTTCTTATATGTCTATGGCAAAACGTCTATTGAATGCTGATTGGATAAGATGCTTTTCAACGTTCTCAGAGCCTTTTTCGGCTTTTTAAAGGAGTTTTCTGGTTCTCCTCAACACTACTATAATACGATAATAGGTCTGGGGATCGAGTTCATAGTACAACTAGACTGAATGCCCATTCGAAAGGCTGTACATAGACTGGACCACATTATATCATACTAGTCATATTTTGCTTCCGCTACCACACATTAAATATACAAACCTATAGTAATTACTGATATTTGTCATTCTGGTCCTTTCTGTCATGATTGTCAATTGCTTTACATTGTATCGTATATCAGTGCTGCATATTAATACACACATGGTCTTAAGCAGTTGAGCGGAAACCACGAAATATAATAGATTCATATTATTCCGTCTCAATTGTTGTTTTGGTCATATTCAACATTATATGCATTAGATCTTTGGAACTATTTCAAAGATTCTTTTAATCCCTGAATTCTGCCTGTAGCATTTCTAGGGTTACTGCCGGTTCCAAGACTGGGTAGAGGGGGCTAGGTGTGATGTCAGCAACTCCAACCCGTAGAAAACAACCCTTGCACCTAACAACCAGAGCAACAACTAATGTAGGTACATGGCATGTCCGGACAATGTGGGAGACCGGGAGGACCAGCCAGATAGCTATGGAAATGAGAAGATGCAACTTGATGGTGTTCGAAAAGAGTGTGACACATTGGACCAAAGCCGGACATCAAAGGTTAGGTACGGAAGAAATGCTATTGTACTCCGGTCACAGAGAGGAATATTCTCTACACACTCAGGCAGTTTCTCTGATGTTGTACAAAGAACCATGTAAAACACTTATAGGATGAGACTCTCACGGATCTAGAACCATCACATCATCCTTCAAAACAAAGAAGAAGGGAATCACAATGAATATTATCCAGTGTTGTGTACCCACTTATGATAGCAACGACGACGATAAAGATCAGTTTTATGAGAGGCTGCTCAAAAAAGGACCTGACAATCCTAATAGGAGATCTAAACGCCAAAGTCAGAATGGAGAACACCGGCTATGGAGATTTCATTGAACGATATGGATTGACTGGGAAAAACGAATGAGAATGGTGACAGGTTAAGAAATTTAGGTGCATTTGGCAAACTCGTTATATATGGTTTTAAATTTCCTCACAGACGCATACACAGAGCTATATGGGTCTCATCGGATCAAACTACAGAGAATCAGATCGATCATATCTGTATCACTGAAAAATTCAGGTCAATGGAAAAACTGAGATACAGGAGAGGACTTGACATAGCCTCAAATCAGCACCAGCTGGTGGTTGTCAAGACGAAACTGAAGCTACGGAACTAATGGACAACGGGAGAAGCAGCATTAATACGATTAATACAACCTTCCTTCGACATACTGAGAAAATCAACGAATTCAAGATAACTCTCGACAATAAGTTCCAAGCCTTACAGGATCATTAGAGCTGAAAAACAGAAATTCGTGGAAGACCTAGGAACGACAGCAGACAAATCTGTAAGAGATGGAAATGTGAAACAACTATATGGCTTATGCTCCCACTTGAGGGATAACAAGCATAAGTAAGTAAATAAGTAAACTTTGATCTTTGAGCTTAAAACTATGTAAATGGTGTACTAAGTTAGTATCTCTTCAAATAAGCATTATATTTTAAATTTCATATAACAGAATAATGTATAACTTGGGAATTAGAATTTCAAACGGCAAAATTAATACATTGTTTGTAAGATGATTGAAAGATATACTATTTTGAAATTCAGAACATTGCTATTTTGACACAAAGAATTAAATTAATTTTAAAAATATATGATAAAATGATAATATAACTATTCATTCAACTTGATATTCCATAATATCACGTGAAAATGAAAACATAACTAAGGAGATAGAAAAACAAATATATCCTGGGACATAGCTCTTTCTTTCGATGACAGTGCTTCACAATTATAAATCCCATCGTCACCTTCCCTGAAGTTTTCGATTGTTAGACGACTCTTTGAACCCTTACATCCAAGCGAACTTGGCACAGCTTGGGTCCTCATTCGTGTTTCATCACGAAGGCATCTCCAGTTGAAACGCCAAATAATCATAGGTGGTGGAACACCGGATGCTTCACATTCTAAAATCAGTCTACCACCAGGACGAACTCTATGAGTTTCTTGACGTTGAGTTTGAATTATGGTAGGTGGGGCTGAAAGGGGATTGAAACACTAGCAATCAGTTTCAAAAACTATTTTGATTATTATTTGAGTATGATAAAAATGATTTTAAACAAAAAACGTATCAGCTAAAACATTGACGTGCACTATGCTGATGATGAACACTACAATAAGTGATATTTACTTTGAAACATTTTATAGATGCACAAAAATCTCCTTCAGTAGTTGTATTATTGCACTTACAATCATTTGATCACACAATCCAAGTCAATATTCACCACTGTCAATCACAGTTAACAATTTATTGATAACATATCGTAGGTTTTATAAAGAATAAAACAGAAATGAACACATTTTGATGTGTTTTCGTGTAACGAAGATGAATTTCTTCAGTGTTTTTACAGGACTACTGCTATTTTATATCTTAACTCAAATTGCTGAAATAGTTGTGGATAAGTGAAATAAATTTAAAGTGTTAAAACATGCTTGTAATTAGGTAGGACTTTTTGTTATTAAGTTAATGAAGATTACCCTATAAACAGTTTTCATCACTGGTTTTGCAAATGTAATACTCACTTAGGATATTTGAATTACAAAAACTGTAGTTATGGCGTATAGAAGCGATAAAATTCTCGCAGAATTGTATTCAACACTTTTATGTATAAAATACTTCAATCATAAATAGACAAGTGTTTCCACACTTTAATCGATAATCCGTTTGCTATAGTTGCAGTACAGTTTGCAGTTCATTACTTATAATCTTTCGAGAGATTTTAAAAGATATGTGGTGAACAGAACAAGGGTGGGGACAATCGAATTGTATTTAGCACAACATTACAGAGTTACTTTATAAGATAGAAAAACCAAATTGTAAATCGTTAATTTGCGAAATATCAATCCATCATATCAAACTGGACTGTTCCTGTTGCAATCATCAATCCATTATCTCACATTTCATTGTTCATGCGTTTTTTTTACAAATTGCATTGCGTTCCCGCTCTTCCTTTGTTGATCTTTTACCATCTGTTGCCAGACATTACGTTCTTTAACTCGCGTCATATACTACTTATATCAATATAAGTAGCACACACCACAGATGTACTAACTATTACTGTTTTTTAAAGCCAGTATTCGAAAGCTATTTTAATTAGTTGAAAATGTGTCATTTGTAAACCATTTTACAACCTAAGCTGATATGATAATTTAATGTTCTCTCCAATTCATATTGATTTTTTGGCTCTGTTTTATTTGGAACTATCATTTTATGTTTAATCAAACTTTAGTTTTACTTGTAAATACCTTGAGAAATATATAAGTAGAGATAGGTTTTTTGGATATTATAGCAATTTATTAGTTGAAATCATGAGTTAACTGAAGCTAGACCGCCATGGAAAACCTGTTGTGAGATAGTAACTCACTGGTGACAATGGTAGACGGTAGCGCAACTTCGTGAATTGGTTGAAGTTCGACGTTAACACCGTTGGATGTCGGCTCAGTGGTCTAGAGGTTAAGCGCTCACGCGCGAGACTTATAGGTCCTTGGTTGGAATATTGCGAGGCGAGATCGTGGATGCGCACTGCCGAGGAGTCCCATACTAGGACGAAACGGCCATCCACTGCTTCCAGGTTTTTCATGGTGACCTAGCTTTAATTGATTCATGATCTCAACCACTGAAATTACACCTTAGTCTATGTTAGTTCTTTTCTAAATATAACATCTATATACAAAACTATTTTCATCTGATGATAAGTAAAATGACAAATGAAATACCGAAAAGTTGAAGTTATTTCCTTACAACATTCAGCTTCATCTTCACCACCTCGACAATCACGACCTCCATCGCACCAGTATGCAAACGGTATATACTGATATGGTTCAGTACCACATCTGAAATGAGTAGCACCACACTCTTTATCTGGTACACGAGTGTCTGAAAGTAAAATATAAGTTGTAAATTAAATTGCTGTTTAAGTAAAACTGCAATTAGATCACTAATAAGTAATATCGTTAGTGAATATGTACGAGAAATGATAACAATCATCTGATATTTGAACTCCGCCTGAAGTCCTACTGGAGCTACTACCGGTCCCAAGCCCGGATAAAGGAGTAGTGTTGGGTATAGGGTTAGCGATCCCATCCCGTAGAAAAATAACTTGCTGAAAAAAACGCTAACCAGAAAAAATAATGATATTTGATTCATTACAAATTAATTATCGTCAATTCGATAACATATTTTAACAGTTTGGTATTTGTGTTTTAACATTTTATCACTAACGTCCACATAAAAATTCGTATCATCATTTCCTAAGAAATTCCAACTGAAAACATTTACATGGTGAAAATTAATGGTATTTCGATAATAATAATTTAACTTTTACTAACATGTTATTTGTAAAATGAACTAAAGTCATTCAACAAATGTTATCTCATTCTGTACATGTATATTGTGAGTTTCATTATTCAAACAAATACTTACCATTTAGACAATTTTGTTCATCAAACCGATTTCCACAATCATCTTCGCCATCACACCTCCAATGTAGTTCATAAGTTTTTTCTTTAGGTGGTTTACCATTCACAACTTCGCATGGTTTTGTTATTGGATCACAATACTCTGTAATCATAGGAATTAGAAAACTGTTAGCTCTATTCTATTCAAAACAATAAAAATAAGTTAAGTTTCATCATACACCCAGTGAATAACATTTATGTTCAACGTTAACTCCAGAGTTGTGTATAATAATATGATGCTATTCCTTTCGGCAAGACGTCAATTTGAACAGATTTAGAATTTGTGAGAAATGGTCGTCAGACAAATAACGATTGGACATCAGAGCATAACGCAAACCTGGCTTGGTGGAGAACGACATCTGAATGCAATTCATATTTTATCTGTTGACATTGTTTATTCAAAAGGTTCCTTGTCTTTGAAAAGTCATCGGTGAGAAAACATTTGTTTACTTTCTGTTAATATGTAAGTACTATCGAGGGTTATATAGTGTCACCCTTGATCTGGTTATAACCGGAGATGGTTTCTGCTGATTAGAACATTCTATGTTATTTTCCTTCTACCCTACTTAATAAGTGCTGATATATTTTCGCAAATCCGTATATTTTCTAAACTTTTGTTTATTTAAAAAATTTCAAAACACACTGAAATACAGGTTTGACAGTTGTCATAATGTGACTCAAATCATGACTTATGGGAGCTTTTTTACTGGTTGTCTGATGACAAGGTTGGTTAGAAGATCCTGGTAGGCAGCCTAAGCTCCATAGGTGATAACAGGCCTAAGTAAAAAAGTAAGTAAGTATCTACTGACAGCAGAAATTCGGGAATAAGTAATCAGGATATATAATATGCAGAATATGAAAAATATACCACAGTTTTCAGGTTTCTCATCAAATCCATCATCGCAATCAGGTTTCCCATCACAGAATTGACCAACAAATATACACTGCCCACTGGGACATCGTCTTTGTCCTGGTTGACAACCTAGTTCGATGAAGATGGTTGATGTTTTTCTTTCACCACTGGGAGATACACATCTGAAATTTAAAAAGTCAGCAAGCAACTGGGGTTAATCTACTTTCATGTTTTGATAATGAATTGGAATTAGTTTAAGTTACCGATTAGCAAGATCGGCATTTAGAATATATGTTTTATTTCAGAGTAAACATTCAATTTGATACAATATAGTAAATCCTATTTTGCTTTTAATGTACTACAGTTAGACTTGAACCATAAGTACGGCTAATTTACTCAACAACATACTAAAAAAGTTTAATTTCATCTTCTTTGGCTGTTAGATCTTCTATTGAATCTGGTAAGTTATAACACTGGAGACATTAAAGATGTAAACTAACATGTCATTTGGCAAACATTTTAGTTTGTAAAAGACTGCAATAAGTAATTGGATAACGATTACATTTGTTTCCTGCGACGATCTGAAAAACGAACATCTTGGTTGTATACCTGTTAGTACTCATTTATTGTTCGCTCCTGTATTAATTTAAATTTTGTAATCCTCGTTTGCTTCACCGCTTAGAAGGTGTTGGGGATGTTAGATCCCCAGAACTCACATGGTAAATGCCTTAATTTCATAATTTTATTTTGGAAATTTAAATTCAATTGTTTTCGCGCCAACAGCGCACTTTTCACCTTCATTTCGTATTTCCCACTTGGGAGAATCTTTAACGCTATTGGTCCGTTGTGTATTTTTAGTATGCTATTTTTGCTACACTTCCCAAGGACAGTTTTATGCTGTATGTATACGTTTAATTTGTGTCTGTTATTATTCACTCGTGCTTCTGGCTTACGGAATATGCTTCCCCGTTCCAAGCTTTGACTTCTTCCTATAGTTAGTGGAGCTGGGACGCTTAAAATAGCTAGCTTAGTGGTCTACGGTCACAAGTCTTTGTTCCGTTCGCATACTAAGTGAACTCGTAATAGCTTCAAACCTAGCAGAAGGCTATACATACGAATCGATCAATGAGTTAGTTGCCAAGGCATAACCAACAGATTTTCTTTTTTGATTGAGATCATGAACCGATTGATGTTAGACCACCACAATTGAAAACCTGGAAGCACTAGATGGCCGTTTCGTTTACCGGCTGAGATAACTCAAATAATCATGTAAGCCCAGTTTTTTTAAAAATGTTCATTAAAAAATAGTCTGGTTCATCGAAGTGCTTGAAAATCCAGGTTACAGAACTTAATAAGAGAGTGGTTGAGGTTCTTTTAATTTCTTAATCAAGTAAGATCATACAACAATAATACACGATAAATATTTAATTCATTGGTATGGGAGGTTGTCGAGATTGTAGTATTTCCAAAGTTGAAATCACGATTTGATCTAAGCTAAACCACCATTCAAAACCTGGAAGCATTGGATGGGCGTCTTATCCTAGTGTGGGACTCCTCAAAAGTGTTCATCAACAATCTCACACTCCGTAATCAAACACAACAACTTCGGTATCGCGCTATACATCACTCAGTCAGTATCAAATGTTACTAATGTTTGACTTCAATCACCCCATGATCTTGCATAACCCTTCATTTTTTGTCTGAGGTGGATAACTCTTTCACATTTGACACGGACTGAACTCCACTGGTCATGGTTCCTTCCTAAAACTCCAGGAGTTACATCTTGAAGCTAGTCATTAGAAGACACATGGTTATTAATGGTATGGAGTCTAGTGGTTAAGGGTTCGTGTGCGAGACCGAAGATCCTGAGTTTGATTCCCTCATCTTAAGTAGGGATGAACACTGCTGGGGAGTTCATAACTAGGATTAAAATGCCGTTTTGCGCTTTCAGGTTTCCATTGGTGGTTTAGCTATGGTCGATTAGTGATTTTAACTATGACAATATTTAATTTGTAGATTTTTATAAACATTAAATGCCTAAATTTAATTTAGAAAAAGTAAACTAAGAAACCTACAATGAAATATTTGTGAAATATGAATCCGGTTACTTTTAGTTTTGTTCTTGAAAAAGTGGTTATTCATTGAATTCTTTTCAGTTTTTCCGATTAATTTATCTATTTACGTTCAAACAGACTATCTATTTTAACTTGAATTGTAGTAATATTTACATTAAGTCTACAACTAGCAGAAATTAGTAATGACATAATTAAAATATGTGAATGAGTATTGTCAATAAATTTAAGCTTACTCGATTATGATCTGTCTGTCTCTAGCATCAAGGCCTCCAGGAACGTCTATGATGGCACGTTCAGTTGATGGCCTAGAAACCACAAATCTTGGGTCACTTGTTATTGGTCTCCCATCAAGAAACTGTAAAACTGGAGATGTGCCCGGTTTATCCGTCACACATTCCAAACGGAATGCTCGACCAGGTTGAATTCGTAATTCACCAGGAGTAAAGTGAACTCGTACATCAACAGCCACTTCAGCTAATAACAGAGTTACAAAACAACCACTAATCACTAACATTCAAATTATTGAGGTAGAATAATTTGAGTAAGACTATTATAGAAGATTTAAATTCATTTAGTTTTTATGGTCTAAGCTAGTATTCACCATTTTATAGAGATGATTGTTGACAAACGCATCATAATCTATTCATTATTATGAACTAGCCTTCTAATTCTATTTTCAAGAAATGACCATACTATTACAGGGGTTTTGAGTTTTCGTGAACAAACTATTCTTTGTCAGTTAGTGAAAATTATATTCAAATATATAAAAACCTTTGATAGTGAGATACTTTCAGATCGTAATAAGGAGATGTTGAATGCATGAAGTGTCATAGCCTTTTAAGAATCATTTAGCAACGGTTACTAAGTTACAGCATGGACGATAGGTCTTAGTATTCTCAGTGATAATAAATTTGAATGTGGTAAGTTTCCTTGTCTGTTTGCTAAATCTTTGGTGCTCGGTATTGTCACACGCCCACGTGATTTATTTTAATATTTGGACAGAGGAATTATTCTAATCTTTCCACTTAATCTGTCACCCGTATATTTGTCTCTGTCAATTACTCACGTGTAACTTTGATCATATTTCATACATGTGTATAATGTTACAATGCGTTTATCTTCTTAATTTACAAGCATTATAAACAAAGATGGATAGTGGCTAGCAGTGGAATCTAGGACGCGCGTTTCGTCCTGTTTGCGACTCGTCAGCTGGATGTACCTGCATCTCAGAGTTGATGTTCACTCTGGAACTCGAACTCAGTACCGTTCGCCTCAAAGCGAGTCCCAAACAAGACGAAACGCGCGTCCTGGATTCCACTGCTAGCCACTATCCATCTTTGTTTATAATGCTTGTAAAATAAGGCAATATCGATGCATACGCACAGTATGCACATATGCAAATAAGAGACTGATCAATGTCAGTCCTAAAACATCAATAGGAAGATTCAAGTAAAACAATACCAAGTGCGTTTATCTTCTTCCTGTATGACTTAAAAAACTTGGGTAACATTATTTTCCGAGTCAGTGTATTATTAAACTTCAATGCTTTATACAATCACTGAGTTGATATCGTTCAGTCATTATGAGGTTAACAACGAACAATATAATGGAACGATAAATCTACTACTAATAAAACCTTATAGACAACCTATCTAAAATTATATAACTTTCATATTCATTCGTAACTTGTATTTTCGTGACGTCTTACAAACAGTGATACATCAACTATCAGAAACGAATAAAGATTAAGTAATTACTAGCTAATTGGTATAAAATAGTATCTCAGTGTTAATAAGTATCCAGTGAGTTTAAGTTTTTGTGTGATGAATGAAATTTCTACTCTATGTGACATTCAAATCAGAACACTTATTAAAAGACAAGTGGATTTTTAGAAGTCTTCAATCTCTGGGAGTAGAGATTTCAAAATGTGCTTAGATTTTCGAATGGTTTTGAATGATGTGATCTTTTTCGTGTCACCAATTAAATTTAATAAGCACAAGAGAAAATGTTATGATATCAGTCTAACTCAAATAGTTTATCGTTAACAAGATATGAAAAAAACCCACTCTCATGAGTGAAAACATAACTCCTTTGCACATTAGAATTGAATAACAAAATCTGAAATAATTTAGATTTTCATTATGATGGATTAAACTGCAAAATCGTGCATGGAGGACAGCTCACAGACTCGTTAGAAGTAAAGACCGGTTGCTTACTCTCACCCTTTCTCTTTCTCCCGGTGAACGACTGGATTACGAAGACGTCAATATCTTGGGAGGCGGGAAGCACGGGATACAGTGGATAGTTAGGATGCAGCTGGACGATGTAAACTTTGCAGATGATCCGGCTGTTCTGTCGCACACTCAACAACAAATGCAGTAAAAAGACGACCAGTGTAGCAGCAGCCTCAGCAGCAGTAGGTCTCAATATACACAAAACGAAAAGCAAGATTCTGTGATACAACACAACATGCATCAATCAAATCACACTTGACTCAGAAGCTTCGGAGGGTGTAAAAACCTTTGCAAACCTGAGCAGCATCATTGATGAACACGGTGGATCTGATGTAAATATGAAGACGCGAATCGGTAAAGTAAGAGTAGCATATCTACAGTTGAAGAACAACTGGAACTCAAAACATCTGTCAACCAACATCAAGGTCAGAATTTTCAATACAAATGTCAAGACGGTTCTACTGTATGGGGCGGAAACTTGGAGAACTACGAAAGTCATCATCCAGAAGATCCAAGTGTTTATTAACAGTTGTCTGCACAAAATACTTCGGACCTGTTGGCCAGACACTATTAGCAACAACCTACTGTAGGAGAGAACAAACCAGATCACAGCGGAGGAAGAAATCAGGAAGAAGCGCTGGAAATGGATAGGATTGACATTGAGAAAATCACCGAACTGCGTCAGAACTCAATCCGTCACTTGTAATCTTCAAGGCCAAATCAGAAGAAGAAGACCAAAGAACCCATTACGCCGAAAAATGGAAACAGACATGAGAAGAATGAACAACAATTGGATAGAACTAGAAAAGAAGGCCCAGGACAAAGTGGGTTGGAGAATGCTGGTCGGCGGCCTATGCTACAATGGGGGTAACAGGCACAGGTAAGATTTTATGCCACATTCAAGTGAAAAATCATTGAAAGACATAACGTTTTATATGATTGATTGAACAATCACTTTAATCCACATAAATTAGTCATTTTCAGCCAATTGAAGAACTGTTACAACTTAAATTTGTGAATAAATAAATGTTTGTGTGCTTTTCAGTAGTGTTGTGGTGAACAGAGCACGGGCGGCGACAATCGAAGGTACTTAACATAAAAATTACAGAACGTCTCAATAAAATCTGAGAACTATATATTAAATCGTTAATTTGCAAAATGTCCACCAGTTGTCTCAAAATGCCTCAGACTTAATTGTTCTTGCACTTTCATACAAATTGCATTCTATTCCCGCTCCTGCTTTCTTGATCTTCCCTCATCTTCTGCTGCCGAACATTACATTCCTGACTCGCACAATATACTACTTATATCAATATAAGTAGCACGCACCACAGTATGACTTATTACTTGACGTGTTCATCTGTAGTTCCAATAAACTTATTTTGTATTCATTCAGTTGTATTAAATTGTATCTTGCAGGGTAACCAATATTTTCTATGTTTGTTCAAGCTCTCGTCTGAGTTCTTTAACATCTTTGTGAAAATGGTTAGTGACATAACATATATTCTAACGTTATAACTTATTTAAAATGCTGTTTTAAACTTTTGTTTAGTGGATAAGATATTATTCAAAGCATTTAGTTTCCCTAATATTTTAATTAACAATTAAATATCAATGTATAAATATGTTCAACTCACGGCACCGTAACTTGTCTTCATCTGAGCCATCTCGACAATGAATTATCCCATCACAAAACTGGTTGTCCAGGATACACATTCCATCTTTACACTTAGAATAACCAGGTGGACATACTGATTCAACTTGTACCACGATTGTCTTACTAGCTGCACTTACTACGGTACAACTGAATTTAAAATAATATATATATATATATATATATATATATATATATATATATATATATATATATATATATATATATATATATAAGTGGAATTATTTCTGAAATTTAATCGCTTCATGATATCAAGTGTGCAGATCAAAAGTGCAAAAGCTTAATAAAACAAGTTTGATTTCTAAAGAAAAACTAAGTAGGAATCTAAGTAATTTTAGTGAATTACTTTCTTCAAACTGATAGTTTAGTGTTATGGACACTACCTATAAATTTTTTTACTTTACATCAGCTATACATTGAAAAAATGCTTATTTGTCTGAAACTCTACCAATCTGTTAGTGCTACAGAATAAAAGTCATATTGATTAAGTCTTTCCCACGTTAAGAACACTTGACATTAAGCAGATCACGTTATGAACATCGGGAATTATGTGCTAACAGAAATGTTATTTCATAAATATCATTTCACCAGTCTGTTTGATAAGAAATAGAAATTTCATTTAAATGAACTAAAAGACTTCATATCTAGGTTTCAGCGATTACAGAATAGTAGTTTTTAGCAGTCGAAGCTTTGGGTTTTCAACTAATGAGTGACCAATTGAAGTCTCACTTCACCAACTTTAGTTTATTTACGAATCAGTGATACCACCAAGTTAATCAAGAATATACAGCATAAAAATAATCACATCACCTAATGAATGTATGAAATAAGACGAGAGATACATATCGTTTCATATGTTTATAATAAATCAAAGTTGTATTGAATTAATGAAACAGTAGTTATTGTTGAATTCTTATAATAATTTGAAATGCACACTGTGTCTTAAGTAGATTACACTATATGGGAATTACTAGACCGTGAATTTTTTTTAAGAAAACCATGGTAAGAATAACATGCTTAATGTGATGGAATAAAAAATCATAACACTCCCCATATCACAACAGATGGGATTCCTATTAAAATATAAGATAGGTCTCAGGTAACTCACTCGAACTTACATAAATACAAAAGAAACCGTCATCACTGAATACAAATGGTGTCAAATTAGTGAATCTTCAAATTCTGACAAAATAAGAGACAGTATAATCACTTATCACATAAGTAATAATGTTGATGAATTTCGGAGAATTGTGTTTTAGCAAAATGTTTTAACATGGTAGCTCAGTAGTCCACTCACTTTATTTTGTTTATTTATTTATTTCGATCAGTGTATTTTGATTTGAACGGCTATATTGCATATACCAGAAGGGGTTTGTGGAGATTTTAGAAATTTCACGGATTGAAATTATGAGTCAATTGAAGCTAGACCACCATGGAAAACCTGGGAGCAGTGGACGGCCGTTTCGTCCTGGTAGGGGACTCCTCAGCAGTGCGCACCCACGATCCCGCACCTCGTGAGATATCAGCTCACTGAAGACAATGGTATACGGTGGCGCAACTTCGTGGATTGGTTGAAGTTAGACATTAACACCATTGGATGCCGGCTCAATGATCCAGTTGGTTAGGCGCTTGGCGCGAGACTGATAGGTCCTGGGTTCGAATCTCGCGGGGTGTGGGATCGTGGATGCGCACTGCTGAGGAGTCCCGTACTACGACAAAACGGCCGTCCACTGATTCCAGGTTTTCCATGTTGGTCTAGATTCAAATGACTCATGATTTCAATCTGTGATATTGAATATACCCTATATTATAAACTTTCACTTAACCGTAAAATCTTAAATTTAAATCTTCATAAGTACACTTTTTAATTACTAAACTCTAGAACTTATGAATTTATAAATTAGACTATATCTGATGTGATACACTGAAAGAAGGGCTCGTTTTTCAAAATTAAACAGTAACGTTTTCTTTCAAAGTGCACCTTAAAGTGAGAAATAGTTAGTATTATCAAATCTCACAACTAGTACTTGATTTCTATCTTTATGCAGGTAAACAATAATAAAATATATTTTAGGATAGGAATTTTATAGTTGTATAATAAATGTGATTGTTAAGAATTTTTAATTGTATACTATGTTTTCATACGTGAAAGAATATTTTCCAGGATCAGCAATACCACTTTCTGCTCGAACAATAATATGTTCACGGCTTGGACGAACAATTGTAAATCTGGGATCATTTTCAACTGGATAACCTTCAAGTGTAATTTTTGGTTCACCACCTGGCATAACTGATTTACATTCAAATTGGAAAGATTCATGTGGTCTTGTTAAAATTGTTGTTGGAGTAATAATAATTGTAGGAACTGATGTCAGTAAAATGAAAATGAGAATAAAAAGAAAATGCTTAACATTTAAACAGTGATATTAAATATTTTTATTCATTTTAACAACATTGTTAATTATCTACTACTTCAGAAGTCTGATATTTTCAAACTCTAATCTAATCAAAACAGAGTTTGTGAAGCACACATGATTATTTCTATTCATATGGAAGAAGAGTCCTTATTTATCACATAATTAAGCTATTTCTTGTAAATCATGAAAAATAATTTTAAAATGTTTCAACTCAGTTATCAATTGCAAAGAGAATATCCATTATTAGGGTACTCTAATATCTATGTCTGAAACAAGATGAAAGTCATACAGAAGCACTAAGGATAATACTAGCTTGAATAAGTGAATCATCTAGAAAATTTTAAAAAATGCTATGTACACAGGTTACAAAAGTGTGTTTCGTGTAGGAATCTTAATCACTGAAACGGTATGTAGTGATTCTGACATTAGATAGTTTAGGATGTGCTTGACGGATGAAATAAGAGAATAATTTATTGAGCACGCTTTAAATTAGACAGACTTATCAACGTGCTTTTTAGCTACTGCGACTTATCATTGTCCTGTCAAAAATAACCTGGAATAGGGTCTAGGATGTTTGAATATAATACGATTTATTGTTTTCAATGTTACCAGTACAAAATATCACTAGCAGTCTCGATTTGTTCTTTCATTATACTGTTCGGATTTCTCAACACATTTGTTTGGTATTATTATTCATTAAACCAGTCTATTTCATCACTACTCTTTTGTACTATAGATGAAACGGTGGCTCTCTCAATTCTTTATGTGATAGTCGTTTTCACTATTAATCCACGCTAAGTATTTGATATCTGATATTTTGTTTATAAATAACAGTTAACTGGTTTTTCTGGTGAAAAATAATTGGTTAAAATTCAACGGTACTATTCCCGAATAAATAATCTTTACGGTTTAGTCAGTCATACTAGTATTTTACCGAATGATTATCCCATCATAACAATCCAGAGTTTTCAACATAAGAGTTACGTGAAATAATTTGTTTCGATGCTACATTTCATATTGTCTTAGCCTATCAGAAGATCACATGTTGAATATATGTGGCTAATTTTTCAAACTAAAACCATTATATTATACTTCCTCACTTATATCAATAAATATGGACAGCTGCGGACACTCGTTCGATTGGAAAAATGTGGAAATATTGGACAGAGGAAATTCCAAAAACACTAGAGAATTTTTAGAAGCCTGGCACTCAGGTCAATCAGCAATCAACAAGCACATTGTAATCGATCCAATTTATCAACCAATCAGGAAAATTATGCACAAATATGGGAACAAAAATCAAACCACTGGAAGACACAACCAAAACGAAGGAGTAAACAATGACAAATTTAAGGTCAATAAGGACCAATCAACGTCGAGGTGTACAGGATAAGCTGTGAAACGCATATGAAGAAATCCGAACACTTCACTTCTATCTGAAGTTTGTGCTGATGATGTCGTTCAGAAGAAGGATGAAAGCTCCACGACCAAACCATCCAGTTCAGAGAACAAAACTCCATCAAAGTCCTTCAGATAAACATACAAAAAGAAAACTTACAAAAAAGATATTATTACTATCGTTTAGATAAACTTCATATTTTAGTGATTAGAATCGACCAAATCTATCGCTTGAACGAATATTAATGATTGAAAAGTAAGATGAAATATCATTATTTCAGTAAACAGAGAATCTTACCACATGATCTTGGATCTTCATCTGATCTATCTGGGCAATCATACTTCCCATCACAAAATACTGCTCTTGGCAAGCATTCACCAGATCTACATTTTAATTGCCCAGGTGGACATTCACTTATGATTTCTACATCAACTTCTTTAACAATATTTACTGATACAATACATCTAAGAAAATTAAATAATAGGAAAAATTTCATTTTAATTCGCTTACAACTATAAATATTAAAATTCTCACTAGCCATTATGTTTAAATGATCAATTAACGTTTCAACACTAAAATAATTGACTTTAGATTGACATTTTCTATTTTCATAGAAGTAATATTCGAATATTCACTTATTCGAGTCAGTTACCGTTAACGATCATTCTTCCTGTAAAGAAACATTTCCTTAATCTACATTTATAGTGGTCATATTAAATAGGCTGATTTAATTTGCTTGACCTAAAATTTGGCAAAAAATCAGTTATCATTAAGAGGATTTGTGGAGATTGGAGCACTTTACTAGTTGAATTCACGAGTCAATCTAAACTAGACCATAACTGAAAACCTGGAAGCACTACATGGCCGTTTCGTCCTAGTATGGAACTCAGCAGAGGACATCCACGATCATAATCGTGTGCTCGCTAGTGACTAGGTTCAAGATGTAACTCCTGAAGTTTTAGTAAGGAACCATGACCAATGGAGTCCAGTCCGTGTCAAGTGTGAAAGAGTTATCCACCTCAGACAAAAGATGAAGGGTTATGCAAGATCATGGGGTGATTGAAGTCAAACATTAATGACTTTGGATACTGACTGAGTGATGTATAGCGCGATACCGAAGTTGTTGTGTTCGATTACGGAGTGTGAAATTGTTGATGAACACTTTTGAGGAGTCCCATACTAGGACAAGACTCCTGTTCAATGCTTCTAGGTTTTAAATAGTGGTCTAGCTTAGATTGGCTCGTGAATTCGACTTCTAAAAGATTTGGTTTGTTATTGATCATTAGTAAACAGTAATATAAACGATACAACTCATTTAAATTATATTCCCATCAAATCAATAATTTCCATAATTTCTGCTTATAATTAACATATTACGGTCGAAAAAAATATTGCTTCTATACTGTTGATTCATGATCATTCTCATAAACGTCTAAATGTAATGTAGGATCTTAATGAAGCTTTATTTGGATATATCGGTTATTGTTTCCATTAAACTAAATGAAAATGTAACACGTTAATTTATTGTTAGAATAATATTTACTGATAATCTATTTTTCATGCCAAATATAGAACAGACGAAGGCTCTGTCTGTAAAAATTTTAACCAGCATTTTCGCAGTACGACATGGAAGTAAACAACATTCACTGTTTATTAATTCTTGTTTCAAATGATGAGTTTATAATACTCACAATAATTTATCACTTAACATTAAATACTTCTAATTATGAACGACTCTATTCTAGGTATTATAACTTATAAATAGAACAATATTCTTTTGATGGAATATTTTGTATCATTTACATTCACTATACTAAATTCAACTGGTTTAGACTTCTTGATTGACTTTATAACTACACTACAACAATGACTTCTGTATGTACATCATTAATTTTTTTAAAAACATCTCATCTTTGATAATGAGATTAGTTCAGTTCTATCTTTCTTTTCAAGTAAATCTATATAATCTTAGTAGACAACTGAAAAATTCTCCATCTTGACCAAATTAACGTATTTTGAATAATTATTAAGAGTATATAGATTACTTAATTACTTACGTCTGTTACTCCTCGTGGAGGAGCATAAGCCGCTCACAAGCACTCTCCATCCAACTCTGTCCTTAGCAGTCCTTTCAAGTTACTATTCATCCTTCTCATGTCTGCTTCCAATTCTCAAGGCAGAGTGCCCTTTGACCTTCCACTTTCCCGCTTCCCTTCAGAATTCAAAGTTATCACTTGTCTCGTGATGCAGTTCGATGATTTCCGAAATGTATGTTCTATCTACTTCCAACATCGTTTTTTAATTTCTTCTTTATTTGGAAACTGGTTTGTTCTCCTCCACAGTAGGCTGTTGCTGATGGTATCCAGCCAATGAATATTGAGTATCTTGCGTAAACAACTATTTGTAAATACTTGTACCTTCTTGATCATGGTCGTAATAGTTCTCCAAGTTTCAGCTCCGTATAGTAGAACTGTGTTGACATTTCTATTGAAGATTGTGACCTTGATATTGGTTGAGAGTTGTTTTAAGTTCTATATGTTCTTGAATTGTAGGAATCCGGCCCTTACTTTGCCAATCCTCGCCTTTACGTCTACATCCGATCCTTCTTGTTCATCGATGATGCTTCCCAGGTACGTTAAGGATTGCACATTTTCCAGAGTTTCGCCATCAAGTGTGATTGGGTTGATGTTCTCCGTGTTGTATTCGAGGATCTCGCTTTTTCCCTGGTGTATGTTGAGGCCTACTGATGCAGAGGCTAGTGTGTAGATTACGCAAACTATAAACTCTACTGATAGGTGAGAATTTACTGCTGTTTGAAAAATCCACAATTCTATGCTTAATATACGCTATAAACATTTTAAAACGAATGGTGTTTCCTACTATAAAATTATAATTAATGGATTAGATTTAATTCTTACTTAAATCTGTGTGCACCAATTTCTGATAAACCAGTTGGCGCTGTTACTACTATAGTTTGAAGACTTGGACGAGTAACAACAAAACGATTATCTCTTTCTACTGAACGCTCGTCAAACGTTACTTGAGGAGATACGCCTGGGATTGACGTTGAACATTCGAATTGAAAACGTTGATATGGGACTACACGAATCGAACCTGGTGTCACTCTGATGTTTACAGCTAAAATAAAAGAAGTGATACGAAATCTGTAGAAAGAAATATGACAACTATTTTCCAGATGCTTTAAGATTTGATTTGATAGTTTTATCTTAGGCCAGACTATAGGTGAAGACATTGCGGAACATAAACTGTATTTGACTTTAGCATCAACAATATAGTGTTTTTAAGGCATCAATTTTTGGTTACACTAAACTTTAATGCAGCTAGTTAGTATGAAGTCTATTAATAGGAATTTTGTGGAGATTCCTATCAACCTAAATGTAATTTTCATCTCAAACTGTGAAAAATGATAATCCACTGATGTCATTTGATGTAATTTCCTCTAAACTACAAACTGATAAAAATTGAAACAATCAGACATCCGAATCTCAACTAGTTGGTCTAAGGGCGCTAATGTTGGCCATCAGAACTGGGGGCCTTGGGTGATATCTCGTGTAGGAATATGAGTTCTCACTCACGAGAATTTCTGTAATTGAACGAACTAGGTAGTTTCTAACGCGTCTTCAAATCATGTCATCTCTTAATATGAATTATCTTCAAATGAATTTATATATCACTCATTTATAGCAATGGTGTAATGAATTAATCCGCGTTCTCAACGTGGGATTGGATATTGGAGAAAAATGTCCTCCTATCTGAGAATGTTAAGTTTTTAAATGATTTTACGATGAAAGTATAAACTGAATTTTATCAGATTGTACGTTCTTGCTCTACTATTCTCATGTTCCTACAAGTGATGGCTATAAAATGTTATTGTTTGAATATCATCTTGTCATAAATGTTTAAGAGTTGCCCTAGTGGAGGACATAATTAAGTCATCGGCACAAGTAGTATGGTGCACACTGTGCATCGATTTATTATAAATGGATGAAAAGATTGACTATTTTCAAAAGTTTAAACATTTTGATAAAAGTTAAATAATACAATTCATTTTCCCTTTACTGTTTTTCAGTCAAAAACAGAATAAACTGGAAATGGATTTTCTTGTGTTGTAATTATGAGGAACCATTGAGCTGAATATGAAGACAATCGTAAATGGTACTGGACGAGGGTTGAGTTATATCATTGTATCAGCTGTTTAATATTCGATATTTCAGCCAAAATCCTGAAGTACTGAGAAGGTTGATTTCATGCGGGAAAACATGTTTGACCGTACTTGGATTCTGATATTTTTGAAAATAAATGTTTCTAATAATAAGATATTCCTCAAAAGTAGTAAGTTATACAGTTTAGAATAATTTCTTTAATATTTAGATTTTATGAAGTGCCTACTCTAAGTGGATTTATGTTCAAACTAAATGGATTTTGATTCACTTGGTATCGTTTTACTTGAATCTTCCCACTGATGTTTAGCACTGAAAGTGATCAGTCTGTTATTGGCATATGTGCATACTGTGCGTATTGCCTAGATATTGCATTAATTAACAAGCATTATAGGCAAAGATGCTGGACTCAAATCCCAGAATGAACATCAACGCCGAGATGCAGGTACATCCAGCTGACGAGTCCCAAATAGGACGAAACGCGAGTCTTAGATTCCACTGCTAGCCACTATCCATCTTTGGTTATAAATGGATTTTGTATTTGTTACCTTTAAAAAATTTGCCAATCCGTGTCACTGTCTGCTTAATTCTTGCTCATTGTTGTGTATTCGGTTTTCATAACTTCAACTCACTGAAGTTGGAAAACTCAAACAGTGAAAACATAAAGTGTCGTAAAATTCTATCCAAAAAGATTAATTCATGGTTTGCGATAGACCTATCAAACCTTTGCTATGAAATATGACTATTAAAGTAAAAATAGGATTAAAAAATAATAAAAAAATAACAATCTAAGAACTTGTTTACCACAGTATCGTTCATTTTCATCTGAACTATCTGAACAATCCGATTTACCATCACAAAATACATTAGATGGTAAACATCGTCCATCCATACATTGAAACTGTCCACTTGGACAAGGTCTTTCAATTTCTATTACAGCAGTTCTATTTTCTAATCCAGGAAATATACAACTACAATCAAAACAAAAATTGTTTCGTTAACTGTATGCAAGATAAACATGAATAGTCTGAGAATACAATAGATTAAGAGTGATTATTCGTATATAATTTAACTTGACTACAATAGGTGACTGATAAAAAAATATCCAAATGAGGATAGGATAAGATTTTATACCTAACACATTATTCAATGAATTCTCAAGTGATGGCGGTTGATTACACTTGTATTTGAAATAATTATTAATAACCATTCATGTTATATATAGTTATTCAAATAAGTTTACAATTTAGAACTTACTAAATCTGGAATGGATGATCTCTATCTGTTAAACCATATATTGCATTTACTTGAAGATGATTTGGTGAAAGGTATATTACATTAAAACGTGGATCTTGACTTACAAGTATACCACTAGGTAATCGAGCTTCTGGTTTTATCCCAGGAACATAAGAAATACATTCAAATTCAAAACGTTTATACGGTTGAACATGAATAATGCTTGGTTTAACTTCCACTTGTACAATTTCCCCTATTTTATAAAATAAAGATGTTAATTATTTTTATTTGGAAAAAAATATATATTCACAAGGTATAATGTGTAGTAGAGGTAAATATAAATCTACAATAATAAAACATTGAAAGAATATTCTCGATGACTTTACTGTAATTTTTTTAAAAATTTATAGTACAGTTCTTGTCTTGGCAACATAATTACTTGATATAATTAGGTGAATTGAATTATGTTATAACTTGTGCCTTGTGTCCTATTAATGTATGACGTAATGATAACGCCAATTAGAGAACAGTGAATTATCAACCGGACCAATGACGCATAAAACCAGTACGGGAAGTCTGCAGTACTTATCGGTCGTGCTTCCGACCTAGCCCTGCCTATTAAGTTCAGAACACCAATCTCAACCTCTCCGATATGAATCATATGTTTCAAGCATACTGGGTTTATATACTAACCAAACAGACCACATCGTATTATAAAATAAGAAATAACATTTGTACAAGATTTAGCCAAATGTGGCTGTGATTGTAGGAGACAGACTGGGCATAACTCAAGAATGATAAATCGTATAACAATGGTTCATAATTCAAAATAAAGCTTATGATAAGAGAAACACGAATATGAATGGTTTGGTTATTTAACAATTATACAATAAAAATATACGTATTGTATTAGTCCAGAAATAGATTCCAACAGCTACCATTCATTATTCTCATAGGGATATAAAAAATTACTTAAATATAAAACAAGTTTTTAAAGAAACATAATAGACCGGTTTCGTATTTAAAACAAACAACATAGTAATAAGGTGATGAGAAAGAGTTCATCTCTTTATGTTTTCCAAATTTGACAGTATTAATTATGGAAAAAATTATCAATATTTAAGTTATTAATAATCTAGACTACTAGTAGTATTGACTAGTAATATTGTAGTGAACGAAAACACAATTGAGGATAATCGAATGTACTTGAATGCGAAATTACAGAATATTTTAGTAAAATCTGAGAACCATACAGTAAGTATTTCATTTGCAAAATGTTAATCAATCGTCTCAAACTTCAGTTTTCTTTCGATTCCACACCAATCAGTCTTCATTCTCGTTCTCTTTACTTTAGTCTTCTTAACCTTATGCCTCTGGGCATTTCACTTTTGAATGACGATACATACTACTTATATCTATTAAGATCAGTAGCAAATATCACGATATGAAATAGCTGAATTGATAGATATCTCAGAGCATAAATAGAAGATTAGTTGTAAACTTTCATTACAATATTTTATATCACGTCTCTAATTTATGAAATAACCCTCTATTCATATGAACATAGTAAATACTTCATAAAGCATAGTAACTACTGAATGTGGAAAATAATATTAATAATATCAAGATGGTGGAGAAGATTTGTAGCTTAGGTGGATGATTTTGAAGTAAACAATGACAAATTTAAGGTCAATAAGAACCAATCAACGTCGAGGTGTACAGGATAAGCTGTGAAACGCATATGAAGAAATTCGAACACTTCACTTCTATCTGAAGTTTGTGCTGATGATGTCGTTCGGAAGAACGATGAAAGCTCCACGACTAAACCATCCAGTTCAGAGAACAAAACTCCATCAAAATTAATGATATCAATTTGACTAAACTAGAGTACTTAGAATGTAATAATAAATTTCACATATTATTTACAGGATACATTATACACTTACACAAACGACAACTATATATCATTTCTGATTTAGTTATGAATAAATTTATATAAAAACAAAGATCAACCAGATAAGAATTATAGCTTTGTATCTTTTTCAATATAAACAAATGATTAATAAGCAACTAAACAATTTCAACAGTAGGATATGACTTACAATAAGCATTTGTAATTTTTAGCTAGAAAGATCTCAATATATAAAAAAATTAATTGAGTTTTGGTTAATTTAAGATAGAGCTCATTAGTTACTTTTTGTAAGGAACTGAACAATCTGAAATATTAAGACAATAATAAGGTATTTAGTTTGTTTATTTGAACTTACTACAATATGGAGGTCGTTCATCTGAACCATCAGGACAGTCAACTCGACCGTTACAAAAATCACTTTCTGGACGACATGTTCCATCTTTACACAGGAATTCACCATGAGGACATCGTCGTCGAACATAAACATCTATCTCCTCTTCTGGTCCACCAGGGAATGTACATCTGTGAAATAATTAGCAAGAATTACATTAGTAATACTACTTTATATCTAGCAATTGATTTGCAAGTAAGATATTATTCACCATCAAATTAAAAAGAAATAAAATATGGAAAGATTTTTCGATTTTAAAACAAACAATACAATGATCAAAGAAGTTTAACATTTTGATCTGGTTTATAACTTTTAAACTATCAATGAAACTAAGCTTGATAGTCAAACTGTGGTGCATGCTACTTATATTGATATAAGTAGTATATAACGCGAGTTAAAAATGTAATGCCTGGCAGCAGAAGATGGGGGAAGATCAAGAAAGGAAGGGCGGGAACACAATGCAATTTGTAACAAAACGCATGAACAATGAAATGTGAGACAATTCGATTGTCCCCACCCGTGTTCTGTTCACTACAAAATTGATTGTACTATTTTATTATAATTAGAGAGGTTTCGTTGATATTTAACATATTTAATATAGATAGTGAAATAGATATATGCAAAAGAATCATTTATTCAAATTTTATGAAATTGCTGAATTACTCGGTAATTTACATTTACTCTTCAAATAAATTAAACAATACACTGTATCATGATGTACAATGTGTTAAAATTAGTTTTCATTTCTGGATCACATCTGTTTATTTGTATAAAGTACTGTTTATTCAATACCAAGTAGTTTGAGTTACATTCAATAATTTTATGAGTACTGTACATTATCTAACAATATTGATTTATGATAAAGACGAACGTAACTCAACAGTTAGATGGGGTTTCTTTATCGTAACTAATCTTTTTATTTATGATTGTATTTCACCGTTTTTTTTTAAAAATAAACTTAATTGGTCCTTATTATGTGGACTTTATTTTGAAACCATATTGATTTAAGTAGAATTAACTTGCCATTAAAAGATGGTCATAAATTTACCATCGTTCATTATTTATAATCTCACTATTAAACAATCTTATACTATTTTCTGATTTATAAACATTTTTAATAATTGAATGTACTCGTCATATTGTAAAAGGATCGTTTTTAGGATAACTAGGCCATTAAGTTAGGTTTCCAAAAAAGGTACACATTTTTCATATACGCATCAAAATAATGTACTGAGAAAACTCCTTTTATTAAGAGTATATTTAAATATTTTCATGGTCATCCATATCCATGAAAATATCAAGCCAGAGTTACATCATAATCGGCAATGTTCTCCATAAAAAGTCTATCTGATGTAATTTTAAGAAGCAATAATTTTGTTAATCAAGTATATTATACCATAAAATTAAGAAATGGTATTAACATTTGTTTAAATGATAGTTTATTCGTATCAGAAGGGGTTTTGTGGAGATTGTAGTAATTTCAGTGGTTGAGATCATGAGTCGATTGAAGTTAGATCACCATGGAAAACCTGGAAGCACTGCATGGCTGTTTCGCCTTGCTGTGGGACTTCTCAGCAGTGCGCATCCACGATCCCGCCTCGCGTGATTCGAACCCAGGACCTAGTGGTCTCGCGCGCAAGCGCCTAACCAGTAGACCACTGGGCCGGCATCCAACGGTGTTAATGTCTAGCTTTAACTAATCCACGAGATCGAGCAACACATACACCATTGTTATCAGTGAAGTCCCATCCCACAACTGACCTGGTTGAACTCCATTGCTCACTGCCTCTCACTAGAAATCTTGGATATACATCTTGAAGCCAGTCACTAGTGAGCATATTTTGATTAGTAGCAGAAGGGGTTTTGTGGAGATTGTAGTAATTTCATTATTTGAGATCATGATAGTTTATTTAATAAGTAACCTTGGAATTTATCTAATAAAACTGGCATGATGATTTCACTGTTAAAATTAGTTTTCTCTTACATAAATGTAATGACAATAAATAATTAAGAATATTATTATTAAGTCTTCTATAAGGATAAGGAAAGCATCAGTAAAAACAGGATTTATTGCTAATCATCCTAATAATCGTCAACAATTTCAATACATAGACTCATGAGTCCTTATTTGTTCTAATAGGTTCCTAGTAAGTATCAAACAATTCTAAAAAAGTAGATGGCTAATAAATAATATTCGATCAAACATTCTAGCATATAGACTAAGAAAGATTGTACAGCAGGAAAATTATCATCATGGAAAATACCATCAAAAGTTTTCAAAACCTTCAACTGAGTAAGTCATAGGAAAACTTGTTTCTTAAGAAAGGAACTTGAGGATTAAGTCTGTATTCAGCTTGCAAAGTATATTAATTTAACCAAAAGATACATAAATGAGAGAATTCATGGCGAATCTCCTTACATGAAGCTAAGACGCTCCTTTTTTTCCGTTAAGCCATGAATCGCTTCAACGCTGACAGTGTTGGGATCAATGCGAGTAACTCGAAAGTTAGGATCTGATTCGACAAGTCTACCATCTTGGAATTTGACGATTGGTTCTATATCTGCACCTATCACAGAGCATTCAAACTTCCATTTTTCGTACGGCTGTGTATGAATGATATCTGGCACTACACGAATATTTACTCGTTCTCCTAAAAAGGGAAATAATGAAGGTAAACGATAAAATATTGCATAAAACTATTCCAGTTAGAATCAAATGCAAAATAAAATAACATGAAGAGTATTATTCAATATGTCCTCCATCTGTAGAACCAATAATCACATACCATAATCGTAACATTCCATATATGGGAGGTTACCCTCAGCAGCTCTTACAGAACAGACAAGATAACGGGGTGTGCTGCATCTCGAACATCTACATCTGACCCATCCATAAAAACCTTTTTCCGCACTTGATGGTTAGAACAAATAATGCCAACATTCTCATCATCAGATATTTCAATAAGCACAGGGAATTTACTATTCAATTGCACATTCAAATTTGCTTCACCTCTGTCTTTACCGTTATCAGTAGATATTGTAGCAATCAGATCTACATTTTTCAAAGCGTCACTTCTGCTGTTGATTTCTTCCACTCATTGATCTACAGTCTACGTCTCAAAATCACCTACCTAGTACAGATAATAATCAAGGTTAGACTGACCTCAGAGTTCAGATCGTCCAAACAAACGTTTTCGCATGTCGAATACATCTTGGGAGCTTATTTTCTTCCTGTAATTTTCGTACACAAATACATCAGGTTCACAACTACTACTAGGAGGCTTTCTAAACCTATGGATAAAGAACTTACCTCGAAAAAAACTTCAAGTTTCCTGAAAAGTTTTCGGACGCTAAAGATGACACTTTCCTTTGCATACACATTTAATGTAAAAATCATTTGGCTTTCGATGACTGTCTCGTATTATGAAATTTCATCCAGTCACTTTCTCATATGCTCTCAGTTGTATCAGGAGTTCTGCTTCCTCCAAAAATCATAAACCAACGAACACCTCACTGAAAGCCATATAAGCTTCACTATTTGAAATATACATAGCTGACGACAAGGTTGACTAGAACCGATAGCGTCGAACCAAATTCACTACTTTTATGGTTCCGATAATTGGGTATTTAATAAACCGACTATAACAACGCTTTTGATTGGTGGAAATGGGGTACGGGTTGATTGATGGGAGTAAGGGATTTTAAGATAAATTTTATATCCATAGAAAACTAATACGTTTAAAAAAATGTTACTATTCAGAACATATAGACTAGAGCTGCAAAAACGAATTATTATAATTTCTGGTATATGTAGAAAACGAAATGTTAGAGTGTTGGGAAACGACCAAGGAATTTCACAGATAATGATATAACATGCAATTTTGAGTAAAAGAAACAATGTCCTATAGAAAATGAATTATAACTTCAACAAGAAAAAAGAAAATATAATAGAGTTTCAACAGTCCAAGAAAACACACCAGAGAAAAACAAATAAAAAAGTGAAAATAAGAAACAAAGAAAAATCAGTAGAAACAGTAAAAAACATAGGCATAAAGAAACACACGAAAAACAAAGCAAACGAAAGGAGATAAAAAAAATGAGAAAAAAATGAATAACAGGAAGTATATATAAAAAGAGAAGTAGCAAACAAATAACACAACAAAAAAAAAGAAAAAAGAATTTAAGTAAAAGTATACAAAAAATCAAACGCAGAAAACTTACGCAAAACCAAATGCTTAAACCAGGAAAACGGAAAACAATATGATATTTCACTTACGGCAACCAGTCTCATCTGAAGCGTCCCGACAATCTTGTCGACCATCACACCTCATTTGTTGTTCAATGCATTCACCAGAAGAACACTGATATTGACCAGGACGACAACGAGGAGCTGTTGCAAAATAATTTCATTGGCAAATAAACATACTTCAGTTAATTTTCACCATGAACACTTCATCATCAAAATCATTCAACATGACCACATGCAAAACAATCACTGAGGCATAAATATTCTCTCAGTATTAGATCGGTGGATCAATGCTACAAATTCCCTATAGAATAGTCTCTGATTTCAAACAGTGGTTACATACATGTGCTCAGCCTTTAAGTCGATCGGTTACTACACATTCACCAACACAACCATTGCATTTTGACGGTTATCACTAACTGCTGCATTTTCTCGCACATATTCTACCATGTGATTTAGTTCTGAACACAATAATATCACACAGTTCTGGAAATAAATGACAATTTGAAAGGTGGGATTTCTCTACAAAACACAATCGTCGTTATCGTCACCATTCTGCATATCTCTGTCTCTATCATCATCAGGATTGTCGTCCTGACCATCACTGTCTTTTCTTATTCTACTTACTCTTCTACGATGTCATTGCCCGCGTCACCATTGTCCTTATCGACGTCGTCAACGACACCTGAGCAATGTCACATGACGAGCGTATTCTAGAGAACATCTTTTCTTGTTGCCGTTAATTGAAGAATCCCGTCATTCCGATATCCAGTGATTAGTGAATTGTGAGCGTTGAGTGAGATCACTCCAGCTCTGAGAATAAGTTTCGTCCACAATCTCGACTATACAGCTACCTACAGATACACACAGAGACATATGAACATTTGCAAGATCAGGTGGACCTGTTCATCATTGACTGGACGATTTTCATACTGACCGAGGGAGCCGGTGACAACTCAACCATCCCACAATGAACGAATAATCTTCTCAGTGCTGTGTGGTCTGAAGAGTGTGATTTCAACGTCTCAACGAGTTGAGACGTCGCAGTATCATTCGGTTGCTAATTGGGATATAACAACTTTCCAACCGTACGCGATACACCCACACTCCACCCACAATGCTAGTTAAGCAGTAGAATAAATCAGAAGACTAATTATCAAAATTGTCGTCTCCTGTAAACAGTTCAAGTGAACACGAACTGCAAACAAACTAAGGAATAGTAAGGAGTCGTGTACACTCGTTAAAACTAATCTGTTTTCCGAAATGTGGACATGACTAGTAATAAGAGGTCTAACGAAAGCACTGGTTAGGTACTTCCCTAGAGGGCAATAATATAATAGCTGATCAACTAACAGCAGATAACTGAAGTTAACTGAACTGAAATGATGCGAATCATTGCTATTCTATTTCCCTCCAGCAACATACAATAAGTGACCTGAAATCGCCTAAAACATATTATTATAACTCCTTTTCAACCAGTGATAAAGTCAAAATTAGTGGGAAGTCAGAACAGTTAGAATACATCAAACAGCTAACTGTTTTTCGTCACTGTTAACATTTCTCACATTTCTCACATTTCTCAATGGTCACCTAGCTAAAATGGGAAATACAGATGATATCTGACTTACGGCAACCAGTCTCATCTGAAGCGTCCCGACAATCTTGTCGACCATCACACCTCATTTGTTGTTCAATGCATTCACCAGAAGAACACTGATATTGACCAGGACGACAACGAGGAGCTGTTGCAAAATAATTTCATTGGCAAATAAACATACTTCAGTTAATTTTCACCATGAACACTTCATCATCAAAATCATTCAACATGACCACATGCAAAACAATCACTGAGGCATAAATATTCTCTCAGTATTAGATCGGTGGATCAATGCTACAAATTCCCTATAGAATAGTCTCTGATTTCAAACAGTGGTTACATACATGTGCTCAGCCTTTAAGTCGATCGGTTACTACACATTCACCAACACAACCATTGCATTTTGACGGTTATCACTAACTGCTGCATTTTCTCGCACATATTCTACCATGTGATTTAGTTCTAAACACAATAATATCACACAGTTCTGGAAATAAATGACAATTTGAAAGGTGGGATTTCTCTACAAAACACAATCGTCGTTATCGTCACCATTCTGCATATCTCTGTCTCTATCATCATCAGGATTGTCGTCCTGACCATCACTGTCTTTTCTTATTCTACTTACTCTTCTACGATGTCATTGCCCGCGTCACCATTGTCCTTATCGACGTCGTCAACGACACCTGAGCAATGTCACATGACGAGCGTATTCTAGAGAACATCTTTTCTTGTTGCCGTTAATTGAAGAATCCCGTCATTCCGATATCCAGTGATTAGTGAATTGTGAGCGTTGAGTGAGATCACTCCAGCTCTGAGAATAAGTTTCGTCCACAATCTCGACTATACAGCTACCTACAGATACACACAGAGACATATGAACATTTGCAAGATCAGGTGGACCTGTTCATCATTGACTGGACGATTTTCATACTGACCGAGGGAGCCGGTGACAACTCAACCATCCCACAATGAACGAATAATCTTCTCAGTGCTGTGTGGTCTGAAGAGTGTGATTTCAACGTCTCAACGAGTTGAGACGTCGCAGTATCATTCGGTTGCTAATTGGGATATAACAACTTTCCAACCGTACGCGATACACCCACACTCCACCCACAATGCTAGTTAAGCAGTAGAATAAATCAGAAGACTAATTATCAAAATTGTCGTCTCCTGTAAACAGTTCAAGTGAACACGAACTGCAAACAAACTAAGGAATAGTAAGGAGTCGTGTACACTCGTTAAAACTAATCTGTTTTCCGAAATGTGGACATGACTAGTAATAAGAGGTCTAACGAAAGCACTGGTTAGGTACTTCCCTAGAGGGCAATAATATAATAGCTGATCAACTAACAGCAGATAACTGAAGTTAACTGAACTGAAATGATGCGAATCATTGCTATTCTATTTCCCTCCAGCAACATACAATAAGTGACCTGAAATCGCCTAAAACATATTATTATAACTCCTTTTCAACCAGTGATAAAGTCAAAATTAGTGGGAAGTCAGAACAGTTAGAATACATCAAACAGCTAACTGTTTTTCGTCACTGTTAACATTTCTCACATTTCTCACATTTCTCAATGGTCACCTAGCTAAAATGGGAAATACAGATGATATCTGACTTACGGCAACCAGTCTCATCTGAAGCGTCCCGACAATCTTGTCGACCATCACACCTCATTTGTTGTTCAATGCATTCACCAGAAGAACACTGATATTGACCAGGACGACAACGAGGAGCTGTTGCAAAATAATTTCATTGGCAAATAAACATACTTCAGTTAATTTTCACCATGAACACTTCATCATCAAAATCATTCAACATGACCACATGCAAAACAATCACTGAGGCATAAATATTCTCTCAGTATTAGATCGGTGGATCAATGCTACAAATTCCCTATAGAATAGTCTCTGATTTCAAACAGTGGTTACATACATGTGCTCAGCCTTTAAGTCGATCGGTTACTACACATTCACCAACACAACCATTGCATTTTGACGGTTATCACTAACTGCTGCATTTTCTCGCACATATTCTACCATGTGATTTAGTTCTGAACACAATAATATCACACAGTTCTGGAAATAAATGACAGTTTGAAAGGTGGGATTTCTCTACAAAACACAATCGTCGTTATCGTCACCATTCTGCATATCTCTGTCTCTATCATCATCAGGATTGTCGTCCTGACCATCACTGTCTTTTCTTATTCTACTTACTCTTCTACGATGTCATTGCCCGCGTCACCATTGTCCTTATCGACGTCGTCAACGACACCTGAGCAATGTCACATGACGAGCGTATTCTAGAGAACATCTTTTCTTGTTGCCGTTAATTGAAGAATCCCGTCATTCCGATATCCAGTGATTAGTGAATTGTGAGCGTTGAGTGAGATCACTCCAGCTCTGAGAATAAGTTTCGTCCACAATCTCGACTATACAGCTACCTACAGATACACACAGAGACATATGAACATTTGCAAGATCAGGTGGACCTGTTCATCATTGACTGGACGATTTTCATACTGACCGAGGGAGCCGGTGACAACTCAACCATCCCACAATGAACGAATAATCTTCTCAGTGCTGTGTGGTCTGAAGAGTGTGATTTCAACGTCTCAACGAGTTGAGACGTCGCAGTATCATTCGGTTGCTAATTGGGATATAACAACTTTCCAACCGTACGCGATACACCCACACTCCACCCACAATGCTAGTTAAGCAGTAGAATAAATCAGAAGACTAATTATCAAAATTGTCGTCTCCTGTAAACAGTTCAAGTGAACACGAACTGCAAACAAACTAAGGAATAGTAAGGAGTCGTGTACACTCGTTAAAACTAATCTGTTTTCCGAAATGTGGACATGACTAGTAATAAGAGGTCTAACGAAAGCACTGGTTAGGTACTTCCCTAGAGGGCAATAATATAATAGCTGATCAACTAACAGCAGATAACTGAAGTTAACTGAACTGAAATGATGCGAATCATTGCTATTCTATTTCCCTCCAGCAACATACAATAAGTGACCTGAAATCGCCTAAAACATATTATTATAACTCCTTTTCAACCAGTGATAAAGTCAAAATTAGTGGGAAGTCAGAACAGTTAGAATACATCAAACAGCTAACTGTTTTTCGTCACTGTTAACATTTCTCACATTTCTCACATTTCTCAATGGTCACCTAGCTAAAATGGGAAATACAGATGATATCTGACTTACGGCAACCAGTCTCATCTGAAGCGTCCCGACAATCTTGTCGACCATCACACCTCATTTGTTGTTCAATGCATTCACCAGAAGAACACTGATATTGACCAGGACGACAACGAGGAGCTGTTGCAAAATAATTTCATTGGCAAATAAACATACTTCAGTTAATTTTCACCATGAACACTTCATCATCAAAATCATTCAACATGACCACATGCAAAACAATCACTGAGGCATAAATATTCTCTCAGTATTAGATCGGTGGATCAATGCTACAAATTCCCTATAGAATAGTCTCTGATTTCAAACAGTGGTTACATACATGTGCTCAGCCTTTAAGTCGATCGGTTACTACACATTCACCAACACAACCATTGCATTTTGACGGTTATCACTAACTGCTGCATTTTCTCGCACATATTCTACCATGTGATTTAGTTCTGAACACAATAATATCACACAGTTCTGGAAATAAATGACAGTTTGAAAGGTGGGATTTCTCTACAAAACACAATCGTCGTTATCGTCACCATTCTGCATATCTCTGTCTCTATCATCATCAGGATTGTCGTCCTGACCATCACTGTCTTTTCTTATTCTACTTACTCTTCTACGATGTCATTGCCCGCGTCACCATTGTCCTTATCGACGTCGTCAACGACACCTGAGCAATGTCACATGACGAGCGTATTCTAGAGAACATCTTTTCTTGTTGCCGTTAATTGAAGAATCCCGTCATTCCGATATCCAGTGATTAGTGAATTGTGAGCGTTGAGTGAGATCACTCCAGCTCTGAGAATAAGTTTCGTCCACAATCTCGACTATACAGCTACCTACAGATACACACAGAGACATATGAACATTTGCAAGATCAGGTGGACCTGTTCATCATTGACTGGACGATTTTCATACTGACCGAGGGAGCCGGTGACAACTCAACCATCCCACAATGAACGAATAATCTTCTCAGTGCTGTGTGGTCTGAAGAGTGTGATTTCAACGTCTCAACGAGTTGAGACGTCGCAGTATCATTCGGTTGCTAATTGGGATATAACAACTTTCCAACCGTACGCGATACACCCACACTCCACCCACAATGCTAGTTAAGCAGTAGAATAAATCAGAAGACTAATTATCAAAATTGTCGTCTCCTGTAAACAGTTCAAGTGAACACGAACTGCAAACAAACTAAGGAATAGTAAGGAGTCGTGTACACTCGTTAAAACTAATCTGTTTTCCGAAATGTGGACATGACTAGTAATAAGAGGTCTAACGAAAGCACTGGTTAGGTACTTCCCTAGAGGGCAATAATATAATAGCTGATCAACTAACAGCAGATAACTGAAGTTAACTGAACTGAAATGATGCGAATCATTGCTATTCTATTTCCCTCCAGCAACATACAATAAGTGACCTGAAATCGCCTAAAACATATTATTATAACTCCTTTTCAACCAGTGATAAAGTCAAAATTAGTGGGAAGTCAGAACAGTTAGAATACATCAAACAGCTAACTGTTTTTCGTCACTGTTAACATTTCTCACATTTCTCACATTTCTCAATGGTCACCTAGCTAAAATGGGAAATACAGATGATATCTGACTTACGGCAACCAGTCTCATCTGAAGCGTCCCGACAATCTTGTCGACCATCACACCTCATTTGTTGTTCAATGCATTCACCAGAAGAACACTGATATTGACCAGGACGACAACGAGGAGCTGTTGCAAAATAATTTCATTGGCAAATAAACATACTTCAGTTAATTTTCACCATGAACACTTCATCATCAAAATCATTCAACATGACCACATGCAAAACAATCACTGAGGCATAAATATTCTCTCAGTATTAGATCGGTGGATCAATGCTACAAATTCCCTATAGAATAGTCTCTGATTTCAAACAGTGGTTACATACATGTGCTCAGCCTTTAAGTCGATCGGTTACTACACATTCACCAACACAACCATTGCATTTTGACGGTTATCACTAACTGCTGCATTTTCTCGCACATATTCTACCATGTGATTTAGTTCTGAACACAATAATATCACACAGTTCTGGAAATAAATGACAATTTGAAAGGTGGGATTTCTCTACAAAACACAATCGTCGTTATCGTCACCATTCTGCATATCTCTGTCTCTATCATCATCAGGATTGTCGTCCTGACCATCACTGTCTTTTCTTATTCTACTTACTCTTCTACGATGTCATTGCCCGCGTCACCATTGTCCTTATCGACGTCGTCAACGACACCTGAGCAATGTCACATGACGAGCGTATTCTAGAGAACATCTTTTCTTGTTGCCGTTAATTGAAGAATCCCGTCATTCCGATATCCAGTGATTAGTGAATTGTGAGCGTTGAGTGAGATCACTCCAGCTCTGAGAATAAGTTTCGTCCACAATCTCGACTATACAGCTACCTACAGATACACACAGAGACATATGAACATTTGCAAGATCAGGTGGACCTGTTCATCATTGACTGGACGATTTTCATACTGACCGAGGGAGCCGGTGACAACTCAACCATCCCACAATGAACGAATAATCTTCTCAGTGCTGTGTGGTCTGAAGAGTGTGATTTCAACGTCTCAACGAGTTGAGACGTCGCAGTATCATTCGGTTGCTAATTGGGATATAACAACTTTCCAACCGTACGCGATACACCCACACTCCACCCACAATGCTAGTTAAGCAGTAGAATAAATCAGAAGACTAATTATCAAAATTGTCGTCTCCTGTAAACAGTTCAAGTGAACACGAACTGCAAACAAACTAAAGAATAGTAAGGAGTCGTGTACACTCGTTAAAACTAATCTGTTTTCCGAAATGTGGACATGACTAGTAATAAGAGGTCTAACGAAAGCACTGGTTAGGTACTTCCCTAGAGGGCAATAATATAATAGCTGATCAACTAACAGCAGATAACTGAAGTTAACTGAACTGAAATGATGCGAATCATTGCTATTCTATTTCCCTCCAGCAACATACAATAAGTGACCTGAAATCGCCTAAAACATATTATTATAACTCCTTTTCAACCAGTGATAAAGTCAAAATTAGTGGGAAGTCAGAACAGTTAGAATACATCAAACAGCTAACTGTTTTTCGTCACTGTTAACATTTCTCACATTTCTCACATTTCTCAATGGTCACCTAGCTAAAATGGGAAATACAGATGATATCTGACTTACGGCAACCAGTCTCATCTGAAGCGTCCCGACAATCTTGTCGACCATCACACCTCATTTGTTGTTCAATGCATTCACCAGAAGAACACTGATATTGACCAGGACGACAACGAGGAGCTGTTGCAAAATAATTTCATTGGCAAATAAACATACTTCAGTTAATTTTCACCATGAACACTTCATCATCAAAATCATTCAACATGACCACATGCAAAACAATCACTGAGGCATAAATATTCTCTCAGTATTAGATCGGTGGATCAATGCTACAAATTCCCTATAGAATAGTCTCTGATTTCAAACAGTGGTTACATACATGTGCTCAGCCTTTAAGTCGATCGGTTACTACACATTCACCAACACAACCATTGCATTTTGACGGTTATCACTAACTGCTGCATTTTCTCGCACATATTCTACCATGTGATTTAGTTCTGAACACAATAATATCACACAGTTCTGGAAATAAATGACAGTTTGAAAGGTGGGATTTCTCTACAAAACACAATCGTCGTTATCGTCACCATTCTGCATATCTCTGTCTCTATCATCATCAGGATTGTCGTCCTGACCATCACTGTCTTTTCTTATTCTACTTACTCTTCTACGATGTCATTGCCCGCGTCACCATTGTCCTTATCGACGTCGTCAACGACACCTGAGCAATGTCACATGACGAGCGTATTCTAGAGAACATCTTTTCTTGTTGCCGTTAATTGAAGAATCCCGTCATTCCGATATCCAGTGATTAGTGAATTGTGAGCGTTGAGTGAGATCACTCCAGCTCTGAGAATAAGTTTCGTCCACAATCTCGACTATACAGCTACCTACAGATACACACAGAGACATATGAACATTTGCAAGATCAGGTGGACCTGTTCATCATTGACTGGACGATTTTCATACTGACCGAGGGAGCCGGTGACAACTCAACCATCCCACAATGAACGAATAATCTTCTCAGTGCTGTGTGGTCTGAAGAGTGTGATTTCAACGTCTCAACGAGTTGAGACGTCGCAGTATCATTCGGTTGCTAATTGGGATATAACAACTTTCCAACCGTACGCGATACACCCACACTCCACCCACAATGCTAGTTAAGCAGTAGAATAAATCAGAAGACTAATTATCAAAATTGTCGTCTCCTGTAAACAGTTCAAGTGAACACGAACTGCAAACAAACTAAGGAATAGTAAGGAGTCGTGTACACTCGTTAAAACTAATCTGTTTTCCGAAATGTGGACATGACTAGTAATAAGAGGTCTAACGAAAGCACTGGTTAGGTACTTCCCTAGAGGGCAATAATATAATAGCTGATCAACTAACAGCAGATAACTGAAGTTAACTGAACTGAAATGATGCGAATCATTGCTATTCTATTTCCCTCCAGCAACATACAATAAGTGACCTGAAATCGCCTAAAACATATTATTATAACTCCTTTTCAACCAGTGATAAAGTCAAAATTAGTGGGAAGTCAGAACAGTTAGAATACATCAAACAGCTAACTGTTTTTCGTCACTGTTAACATTTCTCACATTTCTCACATTTCTCAATGGTCACCTAGCTAAAATGGGAAATACAGATGATATCTGACTTACGGCAACCAGTCTCATCTGAAGCGTCCCGACAATCTTGTCGACCATCACACCTCATTTGTTGTTCAATGCATTCACCAGAAGAACACTGATATTGACCAGGACGACAACGAGGAGCTGTTGCAAAATAATTTCATTGGCAAATAAACATACTTCAGTTAATTTTCACCATGAACACTTCATCATCAAAATCATTCAACATGACCACATGCAAAACAATCACTGAGGCATAAATATTCTCTCAGTATTAGATCGGTGGATCAATGCTACAAATTCCCTATAGAATAGTCTCTGATTTCAAACAGTGGTTACATACATGTGCTCAGCCTTTAAGTCGATCGGTTACTACACATTCACCAACACAACCATTGCATTTTGACGGTTATCACTAACTGCTGCATTTTCTCGCACATATTCTACCATGTGATTTAGTTCTAAACACAATAATATCACACAGTTCTGGAAATAAATGACAGTTTGAAAGGTGGGATTTCTCTACAAAACACAATCGTCGTTATCGTCACCATTCTGCATATCTCTGTCTCTATCATCATCAGGATTGTCGTCCTGACCATCACTGTCTTTTCTTATTCTACTTACTCTTCTACGATGTCATTGCCCGCGTCACCATTGTCCTTATCGACGTCATCAACGACACCTGAGCAATGTCACATGACGAGCGTATTCTAGAGAACATCTTTTCTTGTTGCCGTTAATTGAAGAATCCCGTCATTCCGATATCCAGTGATTAGTGAATTGTGAGCGTTGAGTGAGATCACTCCAGCTCTGAGAATAAGTTTCGTCCACAATCTCGACTATACAGCTACCTACAGATACACACAGAGACATATGAACATTTGCAAGATCAGGTGGACCTGTTCATCATTGACTGGACGATTTTCATACTGACCGAGGGAGCCGGTGACAACTCAACCATCCCACAATGAACGAATAATCTTCTCAGTGCTGTGTGGTCTGAAGAGTGTGATTTCAACGTCTCAACGAGTTGAGACGTCGCAGTATCATTCGGTTGCTAATTGGGATATAACAACTTTCCAACCGTACGCGATACACCCACACTCCACCCACAATGCTAGTTAAGCAGTAGAATAAATCAGAAGACTAATTATCAAAATTGTCGTCTCCTGTAAACAGTTCAAGTGAACACGAACTGCAAACAAACTAAAGAATAGTAAGGAGTCGTGTACACTCGTTAAAACTAATCTGTTTTCCGAAATGTGGACATGACTAGTAATAAGAGGTCTAACGAAGCACTGGTTAGGTACTTCCCTAGAGGGCAATAAATATAATAGCTGATCAACTAACAGCAGATAACTGAAGTTAACTGAACTGAAATCATGCGACTCATTGCTATTCTATTTCCCTCCAGCAACATACAATAAGTGACCTGAAATCGCCTAAAACATATTATTATAACTCCTTTTCAACCAGTGATAAAGTCAAAATTAGTGGGAAGTCAGTACATTTAGTATACATCAAACAGCTAACTGTTTTTCGTCACTGTTAACATTTCTCACATTTCTCACATTTCTCAATGGTCACCTAGCTAAAATGGGAAATACAGATGATATCTGACTTACGGCAACCAGTCTCATCTGTAGCGTCCCGACAATCTTGTCGACCATCACACCTCATTTGTTGTTCAATGCATTCACCAGAAGAACACTGATATTGACCCAGGACGACAACGAGGAGCTGTTGCAAAATAATTTCATTTGCAAATAAACATACTTCAGTTAATTTTCACCATGAACACTTCATCATCAAAATCATTCAACATGACCACATGCAAAACAATCACCGATCTAATACTGAGGGCATAAATATTCTCTCAGTATTAGATCGGTGGATCAATGCTACAAATTCCCTATAGAATAGTCTCTGATTTCAAACAGTGGTTACATACATGTGCTCAGCCTTTAAGGCGATCGGTTACTACACATTCACCAACACAACCATTCCATTACGACGGCTTTCACCAACTGCCGCATTTTCTCGCACATTTTCTACCATGTGATTTAGTTCTGAACACAATAATATCACACAGTTCTGGTAATAAATGACAATTTGAAAGGTGGGATTTCTCGACAAAACACAATGGTCGTTATCGTCACCAGTCTGCATATCTCTGTCTCTATCATCATCAGGATTGTCGTCCTGACCATCACTGTCTTTTCTTATTCTACTTACTCTTCTACGATGTCATTGCCCGCGTCACCATTGTCCTTATCGACGTCATCAACGACACCTGAGCAATGTCACATGACGAGCGTATTCTAGAGAACATCTTTTCTTGTTGCCGTTAATTGAAGAATCCCGTCATTCCGATATCCAGTGATTAGTGAATTGTGAGCGTTGAGTGAGATCACTCCAGCTCTGAGAATAAGTTTCGTCCACAATCTCGACTATACAGCTACCTACAGATACACACAGAGACATATGAACATTTGCAAGATCAGGTGGACCTGTTCATCATTGACTGGACGATTTTCATACTGACCGAGGGAGCCGGTGACAACTCAACCATCCCACAATGAACGAATAATCTTCTCAGTGCTGTGTGGTCTGAAGAGTGTGATTTCAACGTCTCAACGAGTTGAGACGTCGCAGTATCATTCGGTTGCTAATTGGGATATAACAACTTTCCAACCGTACGCGATACACCCACACTCCACCCACAATGCTAGTTAAGTAGTAGAATAAATCAGAAGACTAATTATCAAAATTGTCGTCTCCTGTAAACAGTTCAAGTGAACACGAACTGCAAACAAACTAGGAATAGTAAGGAGTCGTGTACACTCGTTAAAACTAATCTGTTTTCCGACATGTGGACATGACTAGTAATAAGAGGTCTAACGAAAGCACTGGTTAGGTACTTCCCTAGAGGGCAATAATATAATAGCTGATCAACTAACAGCAGATAACTGAAGTTAACTGAACTGAAATGATGCGAATCATTGCTATTCTATTTCCCTCCAGCAACATACAATAAGTGCCTGAAATCGCCTAAAACATATTATTATAACTCCTTTTCAACCAGTGATAAAGTCAAAATTAGTGGGAAGTCAGAACAGTTAGAATACATCAAACAGCTAACTGTTTTTCGTCACTGTTAACATTTCTCACATTTCTCACATTTCTCAATGGTCACCTAGCTAAAATGGGAAATACAGATGATATCTGACTTACGGCAACCAGTCTCATCTGAAGCGTCCCGACAATCTTGTCGACCATCACACCTCATTTGTTGTTCAATGCATTCACCAGAAGAACACTGATATTGACCAGGACGACAACGAGGAGCTGTTGCAAAATAATTTCATTGGCAAATAAACATACTTCAGTTAATTTTCACCATGAACACTTCATCATCAAAATCATTCAACATGACCACATGCAAAAACAATCACTGAGGCATAAATATTCTCTCAGTATTAGATCGGTGGATCAATGCTACAAATTCCCTATAGAATAGTCTCTGATTTCAAACAGTGGTTACATACATGTGCTCAGCCTTTAAGTCGATCGGTTACTACACATTCACCAACACAACCATTGCATTTTGACGGTTATCACTAACTGCTGCATTTTCTCGCACATATTCTACCATGTGATTTAGTTCTAAACACAATAATATCACACAGTTCTGGAAATAAATGACAATTTGAAAGGTGGGATTTCTCTACAAAACACAATCGTCGTTATCGTCACCATTCTGCATATCTCTGTCTCTATCATCATCAGGATTGTCGTCCTGACCATCCACTGTCTTTTCTTATTCTACTTACTCTTCTACGATGTCATTGCCCGCGTCACCATTGTCCTTATCGACGTCGTCAACGACACCTGAGCAATGTCACATGACGAGCGTATTCTAGAGAACATCTTTTCTTGTTGCCGTTAATTGAAGAATCCCGTCATTCCGATATCCAGTGATTAGTGAATTGTGAGCGTTGAGTGAGATCACTCCAGCTCTGAGAATAAGTTTCGTCCACAATCTCGACTATACAGCTACCTACAGATACACACCAGAGACATATGAACATTTGCAAGATCAGGTGGACCTGTTCATCATTGACTGGACGATTTTCATACTGACCGAGGGAGCCGGTGACAACTCAACCATCCCACAATGAACGAATAATCTTCTCAGTGCTGTGTGGTCTGAAGAGTGTGATTTCAACGTCTCAACGAGTTGAGACGTCGCAGTATCATTCGGTTGCTAATTGGGATATAACAACTTTCCAACCGTACGCGATACACCCACACTCCACCCACAATGCTAGTTAAGCAGTAGAATAAATCAGAAGACTAATTATCAAAATTGTCGTCTCCTGTAAACAGTTCAAGTGAACACGAACTGCAAACAAACTAAAGAATAGTAATGAGTCGTGTACACTCGTTAAAACTAATCTGTTTTCCGAAATGTGGACATGACTAGTAATAAGAGGTCTAACGAAAGCACTGGTTAGGTACTTCCCTAGAGGGCAATAATATAATAGCTGATCAACTAACAGCAGATAACTGAAGTTAACTGAACTGAAATGATGCGAATCATTGCTATTCTATTTCCCTCCAGCAACATACAATAAGTGACCTGAAATCGCCTAAAATATATTATTATAACTCCTTTTCAACCAGTGATAAAGTCAAAATTAGTGGGAAGTCAGAACAGTTAGAATACATCAAACAGCTAACTGTTTTCGTCACTGTTAACATTTCTCACATTTCTCACATTTCTCAATGGTCACCTAGCTAAAATGGGTAATACAGATGATATCTGACTTACGGCAACCAGTCTCATCTGAAGCGTCCGACAATCTTGTCGACCATCACACCTCATTTGTTGTTCAATGCATTCACCAGAAGAACACTGATATTGACCAGGACGACTACGAGGAGCTGTTGCAAAATAATTTCATTGGCAAATTAACATACTTCAGTTAATTTTCACCATGAACACTTCATCATCAAAATCATTCAACATGACCACATGCAAATCAATCACTGAGGCATAAATATCTCTCAGTATTAGATCGGTGGATCAATGCTACAAATTCCCTATAGAATAGTCTCTGATTTCAAACAGTGGTTACATACATGTGCTCAGCCTTTAAGTCGATCGGTTACTACACATTCACCAACACAACCATTGCATTTTGACGGTTATCACTAACTGCTGCATTTTCTCGCACATATTCTACCATGTGATTTAGTTCTGAACACAATAATATCACACAGTTCTGGAAATAAATGACAGTTTGAAAGGTGGGATTTCTCTACAAAACACAATCGTCGTTATCGTCACCATTCTGCATATCTCTGTCTCTATCATCATCAGGATTGTCGTCCTGACCATCACTGTCTTTTCTATTTCTACTTACTCTTCTACGATGTCTTGCCCGCGTCACCATTGTCCTTATCGACGTCGTCAACGACACCTGAGCAATGTCACATGACGAGCGTATTCTAGAGAACATCTTTTCTTGTGCCGTTAATTGAAGAATCCCGTCATTCCGATATCCAGTGATTAGTGAATTGTGAGCGTTGAGTGAGATCACTCAAGCTCTGAGAATAAGTTTCGTCCACAATCTCGACTATACAGCTACCTACAGATACACACAGAGACATATGAACATTTGCAAGATCTGGTGGACCTGTTCATCATTGACTGGACGATTTTCATACTGACCGAGGGAGCCGGTGACAACTCAACCATCCCACAATGAACGAATAATCTTCTCAGTGCTGTGTGGTCTGAAGAGTGTGATTTCAACGTCTCAACGAGTTGAGACGTCGCAGTATCATTCGGTTGCTAAATGGGATATAACAACTTTCCAACCGTACGCGATACACCCACACTCCACCACAATGCTAGTTAAGCAGTAGAATAAATCAGAAGACTAATTATCAAAATTGTCGTCTCCTGTAAACAGTTCAAGTGAACACGAACTGCAAACAAACTAAAGAATAGTAAGGAGTCGTGTACACTCGTTAAAACTAATCTGTTTTCCGAAATGTGGACATGACTAGTAATAAGAGGTCTAACGAAAGCACTGGTTAGGTACTTCCCTAGAGGGCAATAATATAATAGCTGATCAACTAACAGCAGATAACTGAAGTTAACTGAACTGAAATGATGCGAATCATTGCTATTCTATTTCCCTCCAGCAACTTACAATAAGTGACCTGAAATCGCCTAAAACATATTATTATAACTCCTTTTCAACCAGTGATAAAGTCAAAATTAGTGGGAAGTCAGAACAGTTAGAAGCCATCAAACAGCTAACTGTTTTTCGTCACTGTTAACATTTCTCACATTTCTCACATTTCTCAATGGTCACCTAGCTAAAATGGGAAATACAGATGATATCTGACTTACGGCAACCAGTCTCATCTGAAGCGTCCCGACAATCTAGTCGACCATCACACCTCATTTGTTGTTCAATGCATTCACCAGAAGAACACTGATATTGACCAGGACGACAACGAGGAGCTGTTGCTAAATAATTTCATTGGCAAATAAACATACTTCAGTTAATTTTCACCATGAACACTTCATCATCAAAATCATTCAACATGACCACATGCAAAACAATCACTGAGGCATAAATATCCTCTCAGTATTAGATCGGTGGATCAATGCTACAAATTCCCTATAGAATAGTCTCTGATTTCAAACAGTGGTTACATACATGTGCTCAGCCTTTAAGTCGATCGGTTACTACACATTCACCAACACAACCATTGCATTTTGACGGTTATCACCTAACTGCTGCATTTTCTCGCACATATTCTACCATGTGATTTAGTTCTGAACACAATAATATCACACAGTTCTGGAAATAAATGACAGTTTGAAAGGTGGGATTTCTCTACAAAACACAATCGTCGTTATCGTCACCATTCTGCATATCTCTGTCTCTATCATCATCAGGATTGTCGTCCTGACCATCACTGTCTTTTCTTATTCTACTTACTCTTCTACGATGTCATTGCCCGCGTCACCATTGTCCTTATCGACGTCGTCAACGACACCTGAGCAATGTCACATGACGAGCGTATTCTAGAGAACATCTTTTCTTGTTGCCGTTAATTGAAGAATCCCGTCATTCCGATATCCAGTGATTAGTGAATTGTGAGCGTTGAGTGAGATCACTCCAGCTCTGAGAATAAGTTTCGTCCACAATCTCGACTATACAGCTACCTACAGATACATACAGAGACATATGAACATTTGCAAGATCAGGTGGACCTGTTCATCATTGACTGGACGATTTTCATACTGACCGAGGGAGCCGGTGACAACTCAACCATCCCACAATGAACGAATAATCTTCTCAGTGCTGTGTGGTCTGAAGAGTGTGATTTCAACGTCTCAACGAGTTGAGACGTCGCAGTATCATTCGGTTGCTAATTGGGATATAACAACTTTCCAACCGTACGCGATACACCCACACTCCACCCACAATGCTAGTTAAGCAGTAGAATAAATCAGAAGACTAATTATCAAAATTGTCGTCTCCTGTAAACAGTTCAAGTGAACACGAACTGCAAACAAACTAAAGAATAGTAAGGAGTCGTGTACACTCGTTAAAACTAATCTGTTTTCCGAAATGTGGACATGACTAGTAATAAGAGGTCTAACGAAAGCACTGGTTAGGTACTTCCCTAGAGGGCAATAATATAATAGCTGATCAACTAACAGCAGATAACTGAAGTTAACTGAACTGAAATGATGCGAATCATTGCTATTCTATTTCCCTCCAGCAACATACAATAAGTGACCTGAAATCGCCTAAAACATATTATTATAACTCCTTTTCAACCAGTGATAAAGTCAAAATTAGTGGGAAGTCAGAACAGTTAGAATACATCAAACAGCTAACTGTTTTTCGTCACTGTTAACATTTCTCACATTTCTCACATTTCTCAATGGTCACCTAGCTAAAATGGGAAATACAGATGATATCTGACTTACGGCAACCAGTCTCATCTGAAGCGTCCCGACAATCTTGTCGACCATCACACCTCATTTGTTGTTCAATGCATTCACCAGAAGAACACTGATATTGACCAGGACGACAACGAGGAGCTGTTGCAAAATAATTTCATTGGCAAATAAACATACTTCAGTTAATTTTCACCATGAACACTTCATCATCAAAATCATTCAACATGACCACATGCAAAACAATCACTGAGGCATAAATATCCTCTCAGTATTAGATCGGTGGATCAATGCTACAAATTCCCTATAGAATAGTCTCTGATTTCAAACAGTGGTTACATACATGTGCTCAGCCTTTAAGTCGATCGGTTACTACACATTCACCAACACAACCATTGCATTTTGACGGTTATCACTAACTGCTGCATTTTCTCGCACATATTCTACCATGTGATTTAGTTCTGAACACAATAATATCACACAGTTCTGGAAATAAATGACAGTTTGAAAGGTGGGATTTCTCTACAAAACACAATCGTCGTTATCGTCACCATTCTGCATATCTCTGTCTCTATCATCATCAGGATTGTCGTCCTGACCATCACTGTCTTTTCTTATTCTACTTACTCTTCTACGATGTCATTGCCCGCGTCACCATTGTCCTTATCGACGTCGTCAACGACACCTGAGCAATGTCACATGACGAGCGTATTCTAGAGAACATCTTTTCTTGTTGCCGTTAATTGAAGAATCCCGTCATTCCGATATCCAGTGATTAGTGAATTGTGAGCGTTGAGTGAGATCACTCCAGCTCTGAGAATAAGTTTCGTCCACAATCTCGACTATACAGCTACCTACAGATACACACAGAGACATATGAACATTTGCAAGATCAGGTGGACCTGTTCATCATTGACTGGACGATTTTCATACTGACCGAGGGAGCCGGTGACAACTCAACCATCCCACAATGAACGAATAATCTTCTCAGTGCTGTGTGGTCTGAAGAGTGTGATTTCAACGTCTCAACGAGTTGAGACGTCGCAGTATCATTCGGTTGCTAATTGGGATATAACAACTTTCCAACCGTACGCGATACACCCACACTCCACCCACAATGCTAGTTAAGCAGTAGAATAAATCAGAAGACTAATTATCAAAATTGTCGTCTCCTGTAAACAGTTCAAGTGAACACGAACTGCAAACAAACTAAAGAATAGTAAGGAGTCGTGTACACTCGTTAAAACTAATCTGTTTTCCGAAATGTGGACATGACTAGTAATAAGAGGTCTAACGAAAGCACTGGTTAGGTACTTCCCTAGAGGGCAATAATATAATAGCTGATCAACTAACAGCAGATAACTGAAGTTAACTGAACTGAAATGATGCGAATCATTGCTATTCTATTTCCCTCCAGCAACATACAATAAGTGACCTGAAATCGCCTAAAACATATTATTATAACTCCTTTTCAACCAGTGATAAAGTCAAAATTAGTGGGAAGTCAGAACAGTTAGAATACATCAAACAGCTAACTGTTTTTCGTCACTGTTAACATTTCTCACATTTCTCACATTTCTCAATGGTCACCTAGCTAAAATGGGAAATACAGATGATATCTGACTTACGGCAACCAGTCTCATCTGAAGCGTCCCGACAATCTTGTCGACCATCACACCTCATTTGTTGTTCAATGCATTCACCAGAAGAACACTGATATTGACCAGGACGACAACGAGGAGCTGTTGCAAAATAATTTCATTGGCAAATAAACATACTTCAGTTAATTTTCACCATGAACACTTCATCATCAAAATCATTCAACATGACCACATGCAAAACAATCACTGAGGCATAAATATCCTCTCAGTATTAGATCGGTGGATCAATGCTACAAATTCCCTATAGAATAGTCTCTGATTTCAAACAGTGGTTACATACATGTGCTCAGCCTTTAAGTCGATCGGTTACTACACATTCACCAACACAACCATTGCATTTTGACGGTTATCACTTCCTGCTGCCTTTCCTCGCCCATATTCCACCATGTGATTTTAGTTCTGAACACAATAATATCACACAGTTCTGGAAATAAATGACAATTTGAAAGGTGGGATTTCTCTACAAAACACAATCGTCGTTATCGTCACCATTCTGCATATCTCTGTCTCTATCATCATCAGGATTGTCGTCCTGACCATCACTGTCTTTTCTTATTCTACTTACTCTTCTACGATGTCATTGCCCGCGTCACCATTGTCCTTATCGACGTCGTCAACGACACCTGAGCAATGTCACATGACGAGCGTATTCTAGAGAACATCTTTTCTTGTTGCCGTTAATTGAAGAATCCCGTCATTCCGATATCCAGTGATTAGTGAATTGTGAGCGTTGAGTGAGATCACTCCAGCTCTGAGAATAAGTTTCGTCCACAATCTCGACTATACAGCTACCTACAGATACACACAGAGACATATGAACATTTGCAAGATCAGGTGGACCTGTTCATCATTGACTGGACGATTTTCATACTGACCGAGGGAGCCGGTGACAACTCAACCATCCCACAATGAACGAATAATCTTCTCAGTGCTGTGTGGTCTGAAGAGTGTGATTTCAACGTCTCAACGAGTTGAGACGTCGCAGTATCATTCGGTTGCTAATTGGGATATAACAACTTTCCAACCGTACGCGATACACCCACACTCCACCCACAATGCTAGTTAAGCAGTAGAATAAATCAGAAGACTAATTATCAAAATTGTCGTCTCCTGTAAACAGTTCAAGTGAACACGAACTGCAAACAAACTAAAGAATAGTAAGGAGTCGTGTACACTCGTTAAAACTAATCTGTTTTCCGAAATGTGGACATGACTAGTAATAAGAGGTCTAACGAAAGCACTGGTTAGGTACTTCCCTAGAGGGCAATAATATAATAGCTGATCAACTAACAGCAGATAACTGAAGTTAACTGAACTGAAATGATGCGAATCATTGCTATTCTATTTCCCTCCAGCAACATACAATAAGTGACCTGAAATCGCCTAAAACATATTATTATAACTCCTTTTCAACCAGTGATAAAGTCAAAATTAGTGGGAAGTCAGAACAGTTAGAATACATCAAACAGCTAACTGTTTTTCGTCACTGTTAACATTTCTCACATTTCTCACATTTCTCAATGGTCACCTAGCTAAAATGGGAAATACAGATGATATCTGACTTACGGCAACCAGTCTCATCTGAAGCGTCCCGACAATCTTGTCGACCATCACACCTCATTTGTTGTTCAATGCATTCACCAGAAGAACACTGATATTGACCAGGACGACAACGAGGAGCTGTTGCAAAATAATTTCATTGGCAAATAAACATACTTCAGTTAATTTTCACCATGAACACTTCATCATCAAAATCATTCAACATGACCACATGCAAAACAATCACTGAGGCATAAATATCCTCTCAGTATTAGATCGGTGGATCAATGCTACAAATTCCCTATAGAATAGTCTCTGATTTCAAACAGTGGTTACATACATGTGCTCAGCCTTTAAGTCGATCGGTTACTACACATTCACCAACACAACCATTGCATTTTGACGGTTATCACTAACTGCTGCATTTTCTCGCACATATTCTACCATGTGATTTAGTTCTAAACACAATAATATCACACAGTTCTGGAAATAAATGACAATTTGAAAGGTGGGATTTCTCTACAAAACACAATCGTCGTTATCGTCACCATTCTGCATATCTCTGTCTCTATCATCATCAGGATTGTCGTCCTGACCATCACTGTCTTTTCTTATTCTACTTACTCTTCTACGATGTCATTGCCCGCGTCACCATTGTCCTTATCGACGTCGTCAACGACACCTGAGCAATGTCACATGACGAGCGTATTCTAGAGAACATCTTTTCTTGTTGCCGTTAATTGAAGAATCCCGTCATTCCGATATCCAGTGATTAGTGAATTGTGAGCGTTGAGTGAGATCACTCCAGCTCTGAGAATAAGTTTCGTCCACAATCTCGACTATACAGCTACCTACAGATACACACAGAGACATATGAACATTTGCAAGATCAGGTGGACCTGTTCATCATTGACTGGACGATTTTCATACTGACCGAGGGAGCCGGTGACAACTCAACCATCCCACAATGAACGAATAATCTTCTCAGTGCTGTGTGGTCTGAAGAGTGTGATTTCAACGTCTCAACGAGTTGAGACGTCGCAGTATCATTCGGTTGCTAATTGGGATATAACAACTTTCCAACCGTACGCGATACACCCACACTCCACCCACAATGCTAGTTAAGCAGTAGAATAAATCAGAAGACTAATTATCAAAATTGTCGTCTCCTGTAAACAGTTCAAGTGAACACGAACTGCAAACAAACTAAAGAATAGTAAGGAGTCGTGTACACTCGTTAAAACTAATCTGTTTTCCGAAATGTGGACATGACTAGTAATAAGAGGTCTAACGAAAGCACTGGTTAGGTACTTCCCTAGAGGGCAATAATATAATAGCTGATCAACTAACAGCAGATAACTGAAGTTAACTGAACTGAAATGATGCGAATCATTGCTATTCTATTTCCCTCCAGCAACATACAATAAGTGACCTGAAATCGCCTAAAACATATTATTATAACTCCTTTTCAACCAGTGATAAAGTCAAAATTAGTGGGAAGTCAGAACAGTTAGAATACATCAAACAGCTAACTGTTTTTCGTCACTGTTAACATTTCTCACATTTCTCACATTTCTCAATGGTCACCTAGCTAAAATGGGAAATACAGATGATATCTGACTTACGGCAACCAGTCTCATCTGAAGCGTCCCGACAATCTTGTCGACCATCACACCTCATTTGTTGTTCAATGCATTCACCAGAAGAACACTGATATTGACCAGGACGACAACGAGGAGCTGTTGCAAAATAATTTCATTGGCAAATAAACATACTTCAGTTAATTTTCACCATGAACACTTCATCATCAAAATCATTCAACATGACCACATGCAAAACAATCACTGAGGCATAAATATTCTCTCAGTATTAGATCGGTGGATCAATGCTACAAATTCCCTATAGAATAGTCTCTGATTTCAAACAGTGGTTACATACATGTGCTCAGCCTTTAAGTCGATCGGTTACTACACATTCACCAACACAACCATTGCATTTTGACGGTTATCACTAACTGCTGCATTTTCTCGCACATATTCTACCATGTGATTAGTTCTAAACACAATAATATCACACAGTTCTGGAAATAAATGACAATTTGAAAGGTGGGATTTCTCTACAAAACACAATCGTCGTTATCGTCACCATTCTGCATATCTCTGTCTCTATCATCATCAGGATTGTCGTCCTGACCATCACTGTCTTTTCTTATTCTACTTACTCTTCTACGATGTCATTGCCCGCGTCACCATTGTCCTTATCGACGTCGTCAACGACACCTGAGCAATGTCACATGACGAGCGTATTCTAGAGAACATCTTTTCTTGTTGCCGTTAATTGAAGAATCCCGTCATTCCGATATCCAGTGATTAGTGAATTGTGAGCGTTGAGTGAGATCACTCCAGCTCTGAGAATAAGTTTCGTCCACAATCTCGACTATACAGCTACCTACAGATACACACAGAGACATATGAACATTTGCAAGATCAGGTGGACCTGTTCATCATTGACTGGACGATTTTCATACTGACCGAGGGAGCCGGTGACAACTCAACCATCCCACAATGAACGAATAATCTTCTCAGTGCTGTGTGGTCTGAAGAGTGTGATTTCAACGTCTCAACGAGTTGAGACGTCGCAGTATCATTCGGTTGCTAATTGGGATATAACAACTTTCCAACCGTACGCGATACACCCACACTCCACCCACAATGCTAGTTAAGCAGTAGAATAAATCAGAAGACTAATTATCAAAATTGTCGTCTCCTGTAAACAGTTCAAGTGAACACGAACTGCAAACAAACTAAAGAATAGTAAGGAGTCGTGTACACTCGTTAAAACTAATCTGTTTTCCGAAATGTGGACATGACTAGTAATAAGAGGTCTAACGAAAGCACTGGTTAGGTACTTCCCTAGAGGGCAATAATATAATAGCTGATCAACTAACAGCAGATAACTGAAGTTAACTGAACTGAAATGATGCGAATCATTGCTATTCTATTTCCCTCCAGCAACATACAATAAGTGACCTGAAATCGCCTAAAACATATTATTATAACTCCTTTTCAACCAGTGATAAAGTCAAAATTAGTGGGAAGTCAGAACAGTTAGAATACATCAAACAGCTAACTGTTTTTCGTCACTGTTAACATTTCTCACATTTCTCACATTTCTCAATGGTCACCTAGCTAAAATGGGAAATACAGATGATATCTGACTTACGGCAACCAGTCTCATCTGAAGCGTCCCGACAATCTTGTCGACCATCACACCTCATTTGTTGTTCAATGCATTCACCAGAAGAACACTGATATTGACCAGGACGACAACGAGGAGCTGTTGCAAAATAATTTCATTGGCAAATAAACATACTTCAGTTAATTTTCACCATGAACACTTCATCATCAAAATCATTCAACATGACCACATGCAAAACAATCACTGAGGCATAAATATTCTCTCAGTATTAGATCGGTGGATCAATGCTACAAATTCCCTATAGAATAGTCTCTGATTTCAAACAGTGGTTACATACATGTGCTCAGCCTTTAAGTCGATCGGTTACTACACATTCACCAACACAACCATTGCATTTTGACGGTTATCACTAACTGCTGCATTTTCTCGCACATATTCTACCATGTGATTTAGTTCTGAACACAATAATATCACACAGTTCTGGAAATAAATGACAGTTTGAAAGGTGGGATTTCTCTACAAAACACAATCGTCGTTATCGTCACCATTCTGCATATCTCTGTCTCTATCATCATCAGGATTGTCGTCCTGACCATCACTGTCTTTTCTTATTCTACTTACTCTTCTACGATGTCATTGCCCGCGTCACCATTGTCCTTATCGACGTCGTCAACGACACCTGAGCAATGTCACATGACGAGCGTATTCTAGAGAACATCTTTTCTTGTTGCCGTTAATTGAAGAATCCCGTCATTCCGATATCCAGTGATTAGTGAATTGTGAGCGTTGAGTGAGATCACTCCAGCTCTGAGAATAAGTTTCGTCCACAATCTCGACTATACAGCTACCTACAGATACACACAGAGACATATGAACATTTGCAAGATCAGGTGGACCTGTTCATCATTGACTGGACGATTTTCATACTGACCGAGGGAGCCGGTGACAACTCAACCATCCCACAATGAACGAATAATCTTCTCAGTGCTGTGTGGTCTGAAGAGTGTGATTTCAACGTCTCAACGAGTTGAGACGTCGCAGTATCATTCGGTTGCTAATTGGGATATAACAACTTTCCAACCGTACGCGATACACCCACACTCCACCCACAATGCTAGTTAAGCAGTAGAATAAATCAGAAGACTAATTATCAAAATTGTCGTCTCCTGTAAACAGTTCAAGTGAACACGAACTGCAAACAAACTAAAGAATAGTAAGGAGTCGTGTACACTCGTTAAAACTAATCTGTTTTCCGAAATGTGGACATGACTAGTAATAAGAGGTCTAACGAAAGCACTGGTTAGGTACTTCCCTAGAGGGCAATAATATAATAGCTGATCAACTAACAGCAGATAACTGAAGTTAACTGAACTGAAATGATGCGAATCATTGCTATTCTATTTCCCTCCAGCAACATACAATAAGTGACCTGAAATCGCCTAAAACATATTATTATAACTCCTTTTCAACCAGTGATAAAGTCAAAATTAGTGGGAAGTCAGAACAGTTAGAATACATCAAACAGCTAACTGTTTTTCGTCACTGTTAACATTTCTCACATTTCTCACATTTCTCAATGGTCACCTAGCTAAAATGGGAAATACAGATGATATCTGACTTACGGCAACCAGTCTCATCTGAAGCGTCCCGACAATCTTGTCGACCATCACACCTCATTTGTTGTTCAATGCATTCACCAGAAGAACACTGATATTGACCAGGACGACAACGAGGAGCTGTTGCAAAATAATTTCATTGGCAAATAAACATACTTCAGTTAATTTTCACCATGAACACTTCATCATCAAAATCATTCAACATGACCACATGCAAAACAATCACTGAGGCATAAATATCCTCTCAGTATTAGATCGGTGGATCAATGCTACAAATTCCCTATAGAATAGTCTCTGATTTCAAACAGTGGTTACATACATGTGCTCAGCCTTTAAGTCGATCGGTTACTACACATTCACCAACACAACCATTGCATTTTGACGGTTATCACTAACTGCTGCATTTTCTCGCACATATTCTACCATGTGATTTAGTTCTGAACACAATAATATCACACAGTTCTGGAAATAAATGACAGTTTGAAAGGTGGGATTTCTCTACAAAACACAATCGTCGTTATCGTCACCATTCTGCATATCTCTGTCTCTATCATCATCAGGATTGTCGTCCTGACCATCACTGTCTTTTCTTATTCTACTTACTCTTCTACGATGTCATTGCCCGCGTCACCATTGTCCTTATCGACGTCGTCAACGACACCTGAGCAATGTCACATGACGAGCGTATTCTAGAGAACATCTTTTCTTGTTGCCGTTAATTGAAGAATCCCGTCATTCCGATATCCAGTGATTAGTGAATTGTGAGCGTTGAGTGAGATCACTCCAGCTCTGAGAATAAGTTTCGTCCACAATCTCGACTATACAGCTACCTACAGATACACACAGAGACATATGAACATTTGCAAGATCAGGTGGACCTGTTCATCATTGACTGGACGATTTTCATACTGACCGAGGGAGCCGGTGACAACTCAACCATCCCACAATGAACGAATAATCTTCTCAGTGCTGTGTGGTCTGAAGAGTGTGATTTCAACGTCTCAACGAGTTGAGACGTCGCAGTATCATTCGGTTGCTAATTGGGATATAACAACTTTCCAACCGTACGCGATACACCCACACTCCACCCACAATGCTAGTTAAGCAGTAGAATAAATCAGAAGACTAATTATCAAAATTGTCGTCTCCTGTAAACAGTTCAAGTGAACACGAACTGCAAACAAACTAAGGAATAGTAAGGAGTCGTGTACACTCGTTAAAACTAATCTGTTTTCCGAAATGTGGACATGACTAGTAATAAGAGGTCTAACGAAAGCACTGGTTAGGTACTTCCCTAGAGGGCAATAATATAATAGCTGATCAACTAACAGCAGATAACTGAAGTTAACTGAACTGAAATGATGCGAATCATTGCTATTCTATTTCCCTCCAGCAACATACAATAAGTGACCTGAAATCGCCTAAAACATATTATTATAACTCCTTTTCAACCAGTGATAAAGTCAAAATTAGTGGGAAGTCAGAACAGTTAGAATACATCAAACAGCTAACTGTTTTTCGTCACTGTTAACATTTCTCACATTTCTCACATTTCTCAATGGTCACCTAGCTAAAATGGGAAATACAGATGATATCTGACTTACGGCAACCAGTCTCATCTGAAGCGTCCCGACAATCTTGTCGACCATCACACCTCATTTGTTGTTCAATGCATTCACCAGAAGAACACTGATATTGACCAGGACGACAACGAGGAGCTGTTGCAAAATAATTTCATTGGCAAATAAACATACTTCAGTTAATTTTCACCATGAACACTTCATCATCAAAATCATTCAACATGACCACATGCAAAACAATCACTGAGGCATAAATATTCTCTCAGTATTAGATCGGTGGATCAATGCTACAAATTCCCTATAGAATAGTCTCTGATTTCAAACAGTGGTTACATACATGTGCTCAGCCTTTAAGTCGATCGGTTACTACACATTCACCAACACAACCATTGCATTTTGACGGTTATCACTAACTGCTGCATTTTCTCGCACATATTCTACCATGTGATTTAGTTCTGAACACAATAATATCACACAGTTCTGGAAATAAATGACAGTTTGAAAGGTGGGATTTCTCTACAAAACACAATCGTCGTTATCGTCACCATTCTGCATATCTCTGTCTCTATCATCATCAGGATTGTCGTCCTGACCATCACTGTCTTTTCTTATTCTACTTACTCTTCTACGATGTCATTGCCCGCGTCACCATTGTCCTTATCGACGTCGTCAACGACACCTGAGCAATGTCACATGACGAGCGTATTCTAGAGAACATCTTTTCTTGTTGCCGTTAATTGAAGAATCCCGTCATTCCGATATCCAGTGATTAGTGAATTGTGAGCGTTGAGTGAGATCACTCCAGCTCTGAGAATAAGTTTCGTCCACAATCTCGACTATACAGCTACCTACAGATACACACAGAGACATATGAACATTTGCAAGATCAGGTGGACCTGTTCATCATTGACTGGACGATTTTCATACTGACCGAGGGAGCCGGTGACAACTCAACCATCCCACAATGAACGAATAATCTTCTCAGTGCTGTGTGGTCTGAAGAGTGTGATTTCAACGTCTCAACGAGTTGAGACGTCGCAGTATCATTCGGTTGCTAATTGGGATATAACAACTTTCCAACCGTACGCGATACACCCACACTCCACCCACAATGCTAGTTAAGCAGTAGAATAAATCAGAAGACTAATTATCAAAATTGTCGTCTCCTGTAAACAGTTCAAGTGAACACGAACTGCAAACAAACTAAGGAATAGTAAGGAGTCGTGTACACTCGTTAAAACTAATCTGTTTTCCGAAATGTGGACATGACTAGTAATAAGAGGTCTAACGAAAGCACTGGTTAGGTACTTCCCTAGAGGGCAATAATATAATAGCTGATCAACTAACAGCAGATAACTGAAGTTAACTGAACTGAAATGATGCGAATCATTGCTATTCTATTTCCCTCCAGCAACATACAATAAGTGACCTGAAATCGCCTAAAACATATTATTATAACTCCTTTTCAACCAGTGATAAAGTCAAAATTAGTGGGAAGTCAGAACAGTTAGAATACATCAAACAGCTAACTGTTTTTCGTCACTGTTAACATTTCTCACATTTCTCACATTTCTCAATGGTCACCTAGCTAAAATGGGAAATACAGATGATATCTGACTTACGGCAACCAGTCTCATCTGAAGCGTCCCGACAATCTTGTCGACCATCACACCTCATTTGTTGTTCAATGCATTCACCAGAAGAACACTGATATTGACCAGGACGACAACGAGGAGCTGTTGCAAAATAATTTCATTGGCAAATAAACATACTTCAGTTAATTTTCACCATGAACACTTCATCATCAAAATCATTCAACATGACCACATGCAAAACAATCACTGAGGCATAAATATCCTCTCAGTATTAGATCGGTGGATCAATGCTACAAATTCCCTATAGAATAGTCTCTGATTTCAAACAGTGGTTACATACATGTGCTCAGCCTTTAAGTCGATCGGTTACTACACATTCACCAACACAACCATTGCATTTTGACGGTTATCACTAACTGCTGCATTTTCTCGCACATATTCTACCATGTGATTTAGTTCTGAACACAATAATATCACACAGTTCTGGAAATAAATGACAGTTTGAAAGGTGGGATTTCTCTACAAAACACAATCGTCGTTATCGTCACCATTCTGCATATCTCTGTCTCTATCATCATCAGGATTGTCGTCCTGACCATCACTGTCTTTTCTTATTCTACTTACTCTTCTACGATGTCATTGCCCGCGTCACCATTGTCCTTATCGACGTCATCAACGACACCTGAGCAATGTCACATGACGAGCGTATTCTAGAGAACATCTTTTCTTGTTGCCGTTAATTGAAGAATCCCGTCATTCCGATATCCAGTGATTAGTGAATTGTGAGCGTTGAGTGAGATCACTCCAGCTCTGAGAATAAGTTTCGTCCACAATCTCGACTATACAGCTACCTACAGATACACACAGAGACATATGAACATTTGCAAGATCAGGTGGACCTGTTCATCATTGACTGGACGATTTTCATACTGACCGAGGGAGCCGGTGACAACTCAACCATCCCACAATGAACGAATAATCTTCTCAGTGCTGTGTGGTCTGAAGAGTGTGATTTCAACGTCTCAACGAGTTGAGACGTCGCAGTATCATTCGGTTGCTAATTGGGATATAACAACTTTCCAACCGTACGCGATACACCCACACTCCACCCACAATGCTAGTTAAGCAGTAGAATAAATCAGAAGACTAATTATCAAAATTGTCGTCTCCTGTAAACAGTTCAAGTGAACACGAACTGCAAACAAACTAAAGAATAGTAAGGAGTCGTGTACACTCGTTAAAACTAATCTGTTTTCCGAAATGTGGACATGACTAGTAATAAGAGGTCTAACGAAAGCACTGGTTAGGTACTTCCCTAGAGGGCAATAATATAATAGCTGATCAACTAACAGCAGATAACTGAAGTTAACTGAACTGAAATGATGCGAATCATTGCTATTCTATTTCCCTCCAGCAACATACAATAAGTGACCTGAAATCGCCTAAAACATATTATTATAACTCCTTTTCAACCAGTGATAAAGTCAAAATTAGTGGGAAGTCAGAACAGTTAGAATACATCAAACAGCTAACTGTTTTTCGTCACTGTTAACATTTCTCACATTTCTCACATTTCTCAATGGTCACCTAGCTAAAATGGGAAATACAGATGATATCTGACTTACGGCAACCAGTCTCATCTGAAGCGTCCCGACAATCTTGTCGACCATCACACCTCATTTGTTGTTCAATGCATTCACCAGAAGAACACTGATATTGACCAGGACGACAACGAGGAGCTGTTGCAAAATAATTTCATTGGCAAATAAACATACTTCAGTTAATTTTCACCATGAACACTTCATCATCAAAATCATTCAACATGACCACATGCAAAACAATCACTGAGGCATAAATATCCTCTCAGTATTAGATCGGTGGATCAATGCTACAAATTCCCTATAGAATAGTCTCTGATTTCAAACAGTGGTTACATACATGTGCTCAGCCTTTAAGTCGATCGGTTACTACACATTCACCAACACAACCATTGCATTTTGACGGTTATCACTAACTGCTGCATTTTCTCGCACATATTCTACCATGTGATTTAGTTCTGAACACAATAATATCACACAGTTCTGGAAATAAATGACAATTTGAAAGGTGGGATTTCTCTACAAAACACAATCGTCGTTATCGTCACCATTCTGCATATCTCTGTCTCTATCATCATCAGGATTGTCGTCCTGACCATCACTGTCTTTTCTTATTCTACTTACTCTTCTACGATGTCATTGCCCGCGTCACCATTGTCCTTATCGACGTCATCAACGACACCTGAGCAATGTCACATGACGAGCGTATTCTAGAGAACATCTTTTCTTGTTGCCGTTAATTGAAGAATCCCGTCATTCCGATATCCAGTGATTAGTGAATTGTGAGCGTTGAGTGAGATCACTCCAGCTCTGAGAATAAGTTTCGTCCACAATCTCGACTATACAGCTACCTACAGATACACACAGAGACATATGAACATTTGCAAGATCAGGTGGACCTGTTCATCATTGACTGGACGATTTTCATACTGACCGAGGGAGCCGGTGACAACTCAACCATCCCACAATGAACGAATAATCTTCTCAGTGCTGTGTGGTCTGAAGAGTGTGATTTCAACGTCTCAACGAGTTGAGACGTCGCAGTATCATTCGGTTGCTAATTGGGATATAACAACTTTCCAACCGTACGCGATACACCCACACTCCACCCACAATGCTAGTTAAGCAGTAGAATAAATCAGAAGACTAATTATCAAAATTGTCGTCTCCTGTAAACAGTTCAAGTGAACACGAACTGCAAACAAACTAAGGAATAGTAAGGAGTCGTGTACACTCGTTAAAACTAATCTGTTTTCCGAAATGTGGACATGACTAGTAATAAGAGGTCTAACGAAAGCACTGGTTAGGTACTTCCCTAGAGGGCAATAATATAATAGCTGATCAACTAACAGCAGATAACTGAAGTTAACTGAACTGAAATGATGCGAATCATTGCTATTCTATTTCCCTCCAGCAACATACAATAAGTGACCTGAAATCGCCTAAAACATATTATTATAACTCCTTTTCAACCAGTGATAAAGTCAAAATTAGTGGGAAGTCAGAACAGTTAGAATACATCAAACAGCTAACTGTTTTTCGTCACTGTTAACATTTCTCACATTTCTCACATTTCTCAATGGTCACCTAGCTAAAATGGGAAATACAGATGATATCTGACTTACGGCAACCAGTCTCATCTGAAGCGTCCCGACAATCTTGTCGACCATCACACCTCATTTGTTGTTCAATGCATTCACCAGAAGAACACTGATATTGACCAGGACGACAACGAGGAGCTGTTGCAAAATAATTTCATTGGCAAATAAACATACTTCAGTTAATTTTCACCATGAACACTTCATCATCAAAATCATTCAACATGACCACATGCAAAAAAATCACTGAGGCATAAATATTCTCTCAGTATTAGATCGGTGGATCAATGCTACAAATTCCCTATAGAATAGTCTCTGATTTCAAACAGTGGTTACATACATGTGCTCAGCCTTTAAGTCGATCGGTTACTACACATTCACCAACACAACCATTGCATTTTGACGGTTATCACTAACTGCTGCATTTTCTCGCACATATTCTACCATGTGATTTAGTTCTGAACACAATAATATCACACAGTTCTGGAAATAAATGACAGTTTGAAAGGTGGGATTTCTCTACAAAACACAATCGTCGCTATCGTCACCATTCTGCATATCTCTGTCTCTATCATCATCAGGATTGTCGTCCTGACCATCACTGTCTTTTCTTATTCTACTTACTCTTCTACGATGTCATTGCCCGCGTCACCATTGTCCTTATCGACGTCATCAACGACACCTGAGCAATGTCACATGACGAGCGTATTCTAGAGAACATCTTTTCTTGTTGCCGTTAATTGAAGAATCCCGTCATTCCGATATCCAGTGATTAGTGAATTGTGAGCGTTGAGTGAGATCACTCCAGCTCTGAGAATAAGTTTCGTCCACAATCTCGACTATACAGCTACCTACAGATACACACAGAGACATATGAACATTTGCAAGATCAGGTGGACCTGTTCATCATTGACTGGACGATTTTCATACTGACCGAGGGAGCCGGTGACAACTCAACCATCCCACAATGAACGAATAATCTTCTCAGTGCTGTGTGGTCTGAAGAGTGTGATTTCAACGTCTCAACGAGTTGAGACGTCGCAGTATCATTCGGTTGCTAATTGGGATATAACAACTTTCCAACCGTACGCGATACACCCACACTCCACCCACAATGCTAGTTAAGCAGTAGAATAAATCAGAAGACTAATTATCAAAATTGTCGTCTCCTGTAAACAGTTCAAGTGAACACGAACTGCAAACAAACTAAAGAATAGTAAGGAGTCGTGTACACTCGTTAAAACTAATCTGTTTTCCGAAATGTGGACATGACTAGTAATAAGAGGTCTAACGAAAGCACTGGTTAGGTACTTCCCTAGAGGGCAATAATATAATAGCTGATCAACTAACAGCAGATAACTGAAGTTAACTGAACTGAAATGATGCGAATCATTGCTATTCTATTTCCCTCCAGCAACATACAATAAGTGACCTGAAATCGCCTAAAACATATTATTATAACTCCTTTTCAACCAGTGATAAAGTCAAAATTAGTGGGAAGTCAGAACAGTTAGAATACATCAAACAGCTAACTGTTTTTCGTCACTGTTAACATTTCTCACATTTCTCACATTTCTCAATGGTCACCTAGCTAAAATGGGAAATACAGATGATATCTGACTTACGGCAACCAGTCTCATCTGAAGCGTCCCGACAATCTTGTCGACCATCACACCTCATTTGTTGTTCAATGCATTCACCAGAAGAACACTGATATTGACCAGGACGACAACGAGGAGCTGTTGCAAAATAATTTCATTGGCAAATAAACATACTTCAGTTAATTTTCACCATGAACACTTCATCATCAAAATCATTCAACATGACCACATGCAAAACAATCACTGAGGCATAAATATTCTCTCAGTATTAGATCGGTGGATCAATGCTACAAATTCCCTATAGAATAGTCTCTGATTTCAAACAGTGGTTACATACATGTGCTCAGCCTTTAAGTCGATCGGTTACTACACATTCACCAACACAACCATTGCATTTTGACGGTTATCACTAACTGCTGCATTTTCTCGCACATTTTCCTTCGATATTTTCTAAACATTTTGTAATTGTTTGTTTATATGCCTTTTTGGTATATTTGTGCGCTTATTGTCTCTGTCTTATGTTTAACTATTTTTTTTGTTTAATGAAATTTTATTTTGCTAGCTGTGTTGGTGTTTTTATAATCCTTTTTACATTAGGAATTTGTACACGAATATTAGCGATTTAGTAAATAGTTGTAACTGGACATTTATCTTCCTGTGGATTTACATTTAACGGGTTAGTATATCTATGTGTGTTATATATTTAATTAAACACCTCATTTATATCACTTAGATTCAATAACTGATTATCAGGAGAATCTCATAGCCTCGGTAAAAGATAACCAACGTTTTAATTCTTTTTTCGATGGAAATTTTACTACATGTGAAAACTAGGTTTGGTAATTGGTAAATTGTATTCCGAAATCGTAGATATTTCATGATACATGAACTTGCGTTCAATTTGTCTATAATAGGATATATCTTTTTACTTAATTTCCATACAGTAAATTCCATTACTTGTTTAATAACACACTGTTTTATAGAGAAACATATTTCTGAACTTATGGCAACCAATTTCATCTGAGCCGTCTCGACAATGTTGTGTACCGTCACATCGCATTTCAGGAGTAATACACTCACCCGAAGAACAAAGAATGCTAGGTGGTTGGCAAACTGAAACTAAAGTATTTAAAAATATATGCAATAAACTCCCGAAATCAATGCTAACTTCATATGCACAACATATATAAACTGAAAATATTATTCTTTTGAAATATTTCTAATCATATAAATCTGAAACTTACTTTATCTTTCATAAATGCTAATGTTTGTATTTGTTTCTTGTTTTCTAGGTATATTACACATCTAATTACTATTATGCAACGGTCATTCAATTAATTGAGCGATATTTAAAATTGTGAAAAATAGTTACATTATTAACATCTTGAGTTGTTTGGAGCAATTCATTATAATGCCTAATTTAATAGTTGAGTTCATGAGTCAAATAAAGCTAGACTACCACGGAAAACATGGAATCACTGGACGGCCGTTTCGTTCTAGTATGGGACTCTTCAGTACAATGGAAGATGGTCGCGCGATTTCGGGGATTGGTTGATATTAGACACTAATACCATTGGATGCTGGCTCAGTGGTCCAGTAGGTTAAGCGTTCGTGCGCAAAACTGGAGGCCCTGGGTTCGAATCCTGCGAGCGGGATCGTGGATGCGCACTACTGAAGAGTATCACAATAGGATGGAATGTCCATTCAGTGCTTCCAGGTTTCCAACGGTGGTCTAACATCAATCGGTTCATGATCTCAATCAAAAACTTAATAATCTCTACAACCCCTGTACTGATAACATACCAAAATGGCTGCCGAAACAAATGAATTTCAATGGTCAAATACGATCACAGGATAGACAGAACTCATCTCCCATTGCGAAACATTTGATTAAGACTGGTCATAAGGTTGACATCAAGTCAGCATTTGTAGTGTTGTACAAAAGCGTACAAGGACGTGTACTAAGATTTATTGAAGCCTTGGCTATACGGAAACTGAAACCCCATTTATGCGTTTAAAAACAATTTCTCCTTACTCTTAACCTACCCTGGTAATACTGATTTTTTATCCAAAGTGGTAATCACATTTATTGTGTACTTTATCATTATTATTTATCTTTGTTACGGCCCACCTTTAACCTGTTTGGTTGACCTTTTAATTTTCATATAAAAATGTCTTAACAAGTATAGATGTGATCAAATTATTCAAAATGTATTGCGCAAATATATCACATAATTCAGATAAAATTCGTCTTCTCATTGCATTATCGAAACTAAACTGTGTCACTAAAGAAAAAAAAGAAAGTTATTGAGGAAATTTCCCAAAATGTATGTAGTTACCAAAAAAAGCATTTTTGATAATCAGCTGTTAAATGCACATTGAACTAACCACAATTAATTTCATCAGATCCATCGGGACATTGAGTTTGCCCGTCACATCTCTGAGATTGTTGTATACAATTTCCGTCATAACACATGAAGTATCCTAATCCACATCGATCAGTAACTACATTGATTATTGCAGTTCTAGGGCTTTCATCGGGAAAGTAACATCTGTAAGATAAAACAATGAAAGACGTAAACTATGGTAGTCAGTCAACCAAATACAACAATAGAAAAAACTATTTTTCTATTATTACTAAGAATTTATGAAATAAATTAATCAGCTTACTCAATTCTTGTATCATTGGCTTCTACTGAAAGTCCATATGGTGCCTTAATAAGCAGAATACCTGGAGATCTCTCAATGATAAATCGAGGATCGGACTCTACATCTTGACCACTATGTACAAAACGTGCATGTGGCATTCTGGTCCCTGGTAAAATAGTTTGACATTTAAGTGAAAAAGGTTCTGATGGTTTAACTACAATACGAGTTGGAATCACAGTAAGTCCAGCATCTACAAAGAAAAATGAAATTCTGAATTACAATTAAAATATAAGATAAATATGTATAAAAAGTAGAGACAAGTTAGAAGAGTTTGCAAATATTATATACATGATAAAAGCTAATTATTCTTATTATGAATGATCAAGTTTATAAATTACTTGGCTAAATGAAATTTAAAACTAATTACATAATCATAAACTTTAAATAAACTATCATTATCTGTAAAACAAAAATGGAACACATTTGACGGATAAATAGATGTATATAAAAAAATAAATAAGTACTCACTGCAAAAACTGCTACCCTCATCTGACTTATCAAGACAGTCAGCTTTACCATCACATATTGAAGAAGTTTGAATACATTGTCGAGTTCTACATTGTGATTGACTAGCAGTACAAATATCCATTATGTATAATGTAACTTCTTTATAATTGAGTCCTGGTAACATACAACTGAAATCATTAAGATTATGAGTATTTATTTGTTTAGAAACAAATTTATATATATAAACTGTGGAAAGAATTTTACTGGTGACAGTTCTCAAAATATGCTCCTGTTGAGAATATAGATATACCATGAGTATTTAGTTGTTAAATTGAGCCAAATATTCAAAAAGGATTTCTGAATATAACATAAACAACACCTAAATCACACTGAATCCCCTGTTCATGAATTAAATAAGAAAGTATGGAGTTCTATACACTCATCATTATGTTAATTAAGTTTATGTAGCAAAAAAACACAACTTTAACTAGTATACTTTTCGATTGAAATCATGAGTCAATTGAGGCTAGACCACCATGAAAAACCTGGAAGCACTGGACGGCCGTTTCGTCTTAGTATGGGACTCCTCAGCAGTGCGCATCCACGAACCCGCCCCCTGCGGGATTCGAACCCAGGACCTACTGGCTTCGCGCGCGAGCACTTAACCATTAGACCACTGAGCTGGCTTCGCGCGCGAAGCCAGTAGGTCCTGGGTTCGAATCCCGCATGGGGCGTGGCCGTGGATGCGCATTGCTGAGGAGTCCCATACTAGGAAAAAACGGCCGTCCAGTGCTTTCAGGTTTTCAATGGTGGTCTAGCTTCAACTGACTCATGATTTCAACCTGTGAAATTTATAAAAAATTATAACAATTCCCTTCTTAGATAAAATAGTTTATTATATCTAATAAAAACAGTGACCTCAATATCATCCTGGATCAGTTCAGTGGTTGTCATTAATCCATCTGATTCACATTGGAATCAAAATCAAACTCAAAGTTTCATTTTCTTGATGTCTTTTTAAATAGAAGACAAGATGGCACATCGAAAGATTGTTTATACCGACAACCAACTTAGAACGGATGATACACGAATTTTCACAGCTGAGTCCCATTAGACAGAAAGACAAACCTAATTCAATCCTTATCATAAAGGTATAGGTGAACATGTTCAGAGGATAAAATAAACGAGGAACTACTCAACTTCCAACAAATATTCCTCAAAAACTATGATCCAACCAGGTTTATTAAACGTGACATGAAACCGAAATAACAATCTATAAGGATTCATACAGATTCTAGGAGAACTGAACATTGAGTTCAAAGAAGGAACCACTGTAGAAATTTTGAATGATCGTCTAACGAAGTCCTTGAGGAAACTTTTTTATGCCACTAGGCTTCATACCATCCTCTCTAGCCCTTTCATCATTCATGGGTGTGTCAAGGGTAAAGCACACATTAGGTCAGTTCAATGGGCGTTTATAAATTCACTTGCTCATGTGAAGCAGGTTACACAGGACACATAAATAAAGTGCTTTACAGGCACATCTCCGAATATTATCCCTCATGGCTTTCGAAAGGCGAAAATAAATCAATCAACAGTTCAATATTAAAACATCTTGTGAACTCGGGTCACATGGCACCATCTCACAAATCTTTTAAAATCATATATACAGTCAAACAATTCGTTTCGAAAAGGGCACAATTTAATGAATCATGCAGTGTAGAGGAGCTAGCAATCGATCATTTAAAACATGAACTACGTGAAAGAGATACACACAGGCTATTATTCTTCCATGACACTAACAATTTATTTTCAGAAATGGTCATTTGATTTTATTAAATTCTCCTGTTTTTAATCCCATTAATTTTGATTTTAGTTATTAGTTATTATCATCTTTATGTTCTTAGTTTGTACTTCCCCATTCTCATATTCGTCAAGTGGCAACTATCCTTATCACATTCGATTTCACAATATTATAACCCTCGTTATTTCAATTTTGAAACGTTTAACTACTAATAAGTAGCATAAAGTTGTAAACATTCTCAGGACACTGTTCGTGAACAATTTTTAAATCATTGAACTGAAAATTGTTTTAGCATGCATCGACCTCTCTTAGATTATTAGCAAAAATCAGACAGCACGGAATAGCTCTACTGACATTCATAGGTAACTCTTTCAACTGTGAAATTGAGTCACATGAGTTTGGTTCCAATCAGTAAAATCAGTTCCTTTACCTATGAAATTACCCCAAGCTGATGAGTCCCAACCAACAAGTCATGGTTCCCCTATAAACTACCTGAGACCATTTAAAACCATAAAGTGGTGCGCATGATGTTTGGATATTTTGATTAGTCACCATACTGCAACTTTTTAGACAGAATTAGATCAATACTGGTATTGGTTATTCTTCAGTTATTAATCAAAGCAAGATAATTAGTTGAAATACAACCAGAGTAGATGAAAACCACTTCCAGTTATTTAAATAAAATAATAAATAAATGAATGACAATACCCTTGATATTTACTGTTAGTCAGATTTTAACATAATCTGAACAACCTAGTTTATCCAACTTCATCCATTCAGAGTGAATATACCTGTATGACTTTTAAGATAGTTAACTAAATAAATTTTCCTTAAATCATTAAAACAGTTTATAAAAGTAAGGTGAGAGTATAATTTATGGAGGAACCAATCGGATATAAGATAACGAGGTTTAGATTTTCGTACGAAATTCATTCGTCCATCTGGCCAAATACCATTTTGGCATTATAGCTGATGTCAGTTCGTGATGAAAACCCTAAACAAATCCTTAACCTTAACCATCAACTGTAAATCATAATTCGAATTCCTTACACTGATTTATAACCTTCATTTAGTCTTAGTTAGTAGGTGGACATCCTCAAGATCACTTTGGCGTCGCTCAATGGTCGTCCATAAATTATAGTCTCACCTGTAGTTAAAAGTTATATTACAATTTTTTTTAACTAGTTAACTTCAAAGTGTTCAATATATCCTAACTCTATGATACTCGATATACAGATTCTCACAATACTTTAATCAACGAATAAAACTTATTATAGACAATTTCACATGTTTTTTTTCTACATTTATGATTAAATGAACTGATGATAAGCATATAATTATCTCAAAACTAGGATATTTTCATATAATATATAGAATAGTCAATAAGGTATCAAATGATATTTCATACAATACAGATAATTCTTAAACTGGTGAAATCATGTTTCAGTTTATCTGTTAATATGAAGTTTGTGCTGATGATGTCATTTGGAAGAACGATGAAAGCTCCACGACCAAACCATCCAGTTCAGAGAACAAAACTGCATCAAAATCATCCACCTGAGCTACAAATCTTCCCCACCATTTCAAAGTTAATTATTATTATCTTAATAACTAGAATTTAACTTATTATAGAAGAGAGTATTTCACAATCTTTTCCTCTCCACCAACGATGTATGGAGTCAAGTAAATATACTATTTGACTGATGAATCCCTAATTTTTACATAACTACTTGAGTTAAACATTGCGAAGCAATCATTCTGAGTGATTATGTTAGAGACATGATTTAATAATTCCCATTTCATTTGTTTTTGACGAAGAAAACTTTCTTTTCGACGATTTCATTTACTTAACATGTATGATCGTATTTTTGGGTAATTTTATTTGTTAAAACAGTATTCTAAAGTAAAATGAAAAAGTGTCAATTATTTTTTAAAAAATTTGAAGCGCTATGTTGTCAAGACTTGAAAATCAGATAATGAAAGGAAATTATGTATTGATCAGCTAATGAAAAAGTGATAAACTGAAAATAATTGTTCACTTGATAGCCATTAACAACAGAATAATTAATTGTAATAATTGACAAATAATAGTTATGAAAATAGTTTGAAAGGAGTAGAAATAATACAATAGAGATGAGAAAGATAGATAATGGAAGATAGGACAGAGGTCAAGACATTGGAAGAGTGAGGGACTGAACACACTGTTGTTGTACGCAAAGGTTAGGAGTAAACTAATGGATATCAAGAACCTTTGTTAAACATAAGTTTTTCATTTCCATTCCCTGTGAACCGACTATTCTGACCGTATTTATGATTTAAAAGGACGCTTCTGGTGAAGCAGAATGGCTGGAATTGACTAGATGCTCTAAGATTGAGCTTTAGACTAGTTTCCGTTATCTTTGGAGAGCTAGGGAGAGTAAGGTTCGGAGATGCGTTTCGGAAGAGCTCGCTTTGTGTGGTTAATATAACCTGTTCTACGTGACTGAGTAAAATGATAGATACACATTGATTTGGCACAAAGCGAGAGCTTGCTCTTCTCACAACTTTGAACCACTGACCTATTAGAAAATGCGAAGTCCAGTCGAATAGAAAGTTTTTCTGAGATCTTGGAAATTTGTTTTTCAGAATTCCTTCTGCAGTTTCTATCTTAAACTGAATGTTCATGCAGAGAGGCTTCTTTTGTGCTATGGAAATAGTTACATGCCGTTTCTTTGGCTTTAAATTTTTCTCAATGAATCTAGGTGGATATCCGTTCTTGCTCAGTATCTGCCGGTTTGTCAAATCTGATGTTCATTGAATATTCGGTGCAGATACATATAATCCTCGAAGAGAGAGAACGGGTCAGGTTTCTCTTTTATATCAGTCGGACCCTACTTTAAAAATTCGTGTACTGACCATTCCATCTTCGCTTTCCATATCACGATCTTTGTAGAGAACCGTCAGGTTCTTTTTTTACCAAAACATCCAAGAAGTGAAATCCTGAATCAGACTCTAATTTCATTGTCAACCTAACTGGTTTAGGATAGTTACTGAACCCATCTAGGGTGTTGTTGGCATAATTATCTTCGTTGCAAATAATGAAATTGTTATCCAAGTACCTGTTGCATGGATAAATGCTGTCAATTATTGGTCTAAGTATGGTACATGGCCTCCTTAAATTGCCTAAGAAAGATGATCTTCTGCGTTCTATACTGGAAATGAATGACACACCATATCATGCCATTGACAAATTGCTAACTGAAATTCTAAGGCCAGTCAGAAATCAACTCAACAGATACACCACCACTGATTCATTCGATTTTTTCGATCTGATATCAAGTGTCAACGTAACCAGAAAGATGACGTCACTATACGTTGCCTCTTTTTTCACAGATGTACTTCTAA